GTAATTGTCCAAAATGTCTTGGTCTGCTGAAGCATTAAGATTTCCCTTCACTGGAATTAAGAGGCCTAGGCCAACCCCTGAAGAACAACCCAATAGCATTATCCCTCCTCCACCAAACTTTACAGTTGACACAATGCAGTCAGTGTTTTCCTGGCATTCACCAAACCCAGACTCATCCATCAGACTGCCAGATAGAGAGGTGTGATTTGTCACTTCATGCAATACATTTCCGATGCTCCAGAGTCCAGTGGCAGCGCTTTACAGCACTCCACACGACATTTGGCATTGTGCTTGGTGATGTAAGGCTTGCATGCAGATACTCGGCCTTGGAAACTGCCGTGAAACTCCCAGCACACAGTTTTTGTGCTGATGTTAATGTCAGAGGATGTTTGGAGTCAGCAGAGCATTGGCGACTTTTAGGCACTATGCTCCTCAGCACTCACCAACCCGCTCTGTAACTTTACGTGGTCTGACACTTTGTGGCCGAGTTGCTGTGGTTCCTTAATGCTTCCACTTTTCACCGATACCACTGACAGTTGATCGGGGAATATCTAGGAGGGAAGAAACTTCACAAATTCACTTGTTGCAACGGTGGCATCCTATTACAGTACCACGCTCAGATTCAGTGAGCTCTTTAGAACGACCCATTCTTTCACAAATGTTTGTAAAGGCAGACTGCAAGACGAGCCACCTGTGGCAATGAGACTGAAGAAAACATCTGAATTTAATGATTAAGAGGTGTGTCCCAATACTTTTGTCCATATAGTGTATGCCTTAATACTGTATTTTGTATCTTTCTTAAAGGCACATATCTGGTCAGTGAGTATTTATTTATTGAGAAAAAAACACTAGCATCAGAATATAAATTAAAAGTAAATACATATATAAATACATACATACATACATACATACATACATACAGATTTTAGGATTTGATGTGTTTGTGTTAAACATTCCCAAGTCTCTCCCTAAGGGAGTCCAGTATCCACAGTTAACCTCCAACCTAGTTTATCTAATCAATCCTTCATTAAATTGAGACAACTGCTGATTTTTTTCATTTAACAAATTCATACATGCAATGGCTGGAAGTCAGAAACAGAACTTGTGTTTTTAAATGTATTCTTCTCACCAAGATATTAATAATAGAAAAATAATTGTTACATCAAATTCTATGCATATTTGTATTCATTGTATTCAACTATATTTATACTACTTTGCATTTAGTAAACCTCCATAGTTTTATGTCCATAAATTAACATACATTACTATATTTGTCCAAACTTAGAACGTGAACACCACTGACTCGGATACAAAAGCCATCGATTCTCAGTATTATCCATCTAATTCCAGCTTATTTCATCAAAGCACCCTATGTAAGATCTTTTTGTGGGTCTCAGTTCAGAGTGATTGAACAAGAAAAGCGTGAAGAAGAAAAGGAACGGCTCTCGATCCAAAGTCTTCCACCTCATCAGTGAAACATGATGGCATGTGGCTGCCGGTAAAACTGGCTGACTGATCTTTGATGAGTGCCAATGGCAAAACGATGAATTCTCAAGTTACATAAGCTTTCAACCAACCAAATGCCTTGAAATTCTATGGATGGTGCTTCATCTTGTGGCAGGATGATGATCAGAAGCATATGAATAAGCAAAGTTTTTCATTCTTACTTGCATCTATTCTAATGTGTGTTTCTACAGGAATAAACTTGCTCACTGCCAGGATAAATAGTATTAAACAACCTGCAAAGATGCTTGAGCCTTTTTTCACAGCACTGAACGTGTGTACAAGAATATATATTTAAAAATGGGAGAGTAAACGGTTGCCTGTAGCACCATTAAAAATGACACCTTAAAATGTCCTGCATTTCTGCCAAGTTCACTCTTAAAGTCAGCATGTTCTGTTCTCCAGTCTCAGCTCTGTCCTTTTTGCACGTTCAGCTGCATTATGGTATTACAAAGCCTGTGGGAAATCACAGTACAGGCTGAGCATTTATAGGATGCTGTCCAGGGTACTGCAGCCACGAAGAAGAATCACCACACTCAGCTCATCTCTGTGCTACAACTGCAGCACACATAGTACACCTTGTGGTTACAATCTGAAATACAACCACTGTGCTTGTCTTCTGAGTCATGGTTTACTTTTAGGATTCCCAGTGTTTTAATCTGCTTAGTTTAGGCTACATGAGTCATCAGTAGCTGATGAATAGTGGGTAATAAAGGAGGATGGGATCCACTTTTGAGTCCTGGTTGCTCTGCAGTGATTCCTCCCTCTGTTTTAGGACGTTTCCTAGTATCCCAGTCTTGGTTTGAGTCCAGAAAAAGACATGCGGTTTGAATTTATCAAGTGACGGAAGTAGTAGTGAGTATTTTGCCAACTGAGACTCTATGGTACTGTATGGTGTTGCCATATGGCAACAGTGACTTTCTTTGCCTGAACACAAGTAATTTTTTTATTTTCCTTTGGGGAAACTGAAGGCTTTCCAAGTAGCATGGCATGCCTTCCTGTTGCAGTCCGTACTACAGTTTTCTCACTCACATTGCGTGTTGAGGGCGGCCTCTGAAGCCAACTCCAAATGTGCATACAATATTCATACACAGCAACTTGTGAAGAATGTAAACAGAAACTGCAGGAGGTTAAAATGACTTCATCAATAATAAAACCACTTTAGCTTGAAGGGGTTTTATACAAAACACTAAGATATAATTGAGCCCTTCCAATAAAAAACAAGTATTTACAACTATGTACAACTATTCTACCCTTTTTTGGATTGTCAGTTATGATAACCTTTTACATTAATATATACTTTATGTTTTAATGAAGCCTTTATTTTAAATACATGGCAGCAGACAATGCCACACCATGCTTATGGTATACTAGGCAGCTCCGTGAAGGAGCGCTATTGCAGATCCTTCCTTCCTGCTGCTTTTAGACTGTACTGCTTCCAGTAGAACACCCCCCATTAGGCCTCACACACCTACAGAACATTAACAATGAATTCATCACCATACCCATGTGAAATATAAACAAACCTCACGTGCAATAATTATACATATCCTTATAGTGTACAGATTATTTTGCTTTTTATTATTTATAATGTTTATATTGTTCATTTTTGTGAAGGATAGAGTTTTTTATCTTTAGTTATTTTTTATTTTTATATATATTCTATATACGGTAATAAGTAACAAACTGTACCCTTGTTAAGAAATTACCATGGTTAATATGTTGTTTGTTAATTCTCTTCTTGTTACTCTTTCTTGAGTGCCTTGCTGTCCCTTTGCTGCTGCAGCACTGTAAAATCCCCTGTGGTGGGACTAATAAAGGATTATCTTACCTTACATGATTTTTACAAAAAATGTCATGTAAATAGTTTTTCATGGCAAGGGCTCATTTGTTGCCATATGGCAACAGTATGCAACAATGGAACTTCAATCTACATTCCAAGTTGACGGTATTATCAACAACAATAACATAATAATAATAACAATAAAACTTTTACACATACTTTGCTGTTCTGCATTTATGCTTGGATGATGAAAGCTGATGCACGGCAGACTGCTGTTCCCATATGGCAACAAAATGGAAAATTTGTTTATATTTTGTAATTTTGTAATTGTTTTATTCTATATACTTACAGTATTTTCAATATGAATTATAATTAATGCTTAATTTGTGTGTATTTCATAATTCATAACATTAAAAAAGTTTTTGTATATATATTTATTTGTTTTTTTATCCTGACTGATTCAGTAGGTGAAAATTCATAAACTCCAGATTTGATCTGAACATTCAAAACATTATTTTTTTCATATGTTTTGTTTTTTTCCCTCAGAATTGTACACCCTAATCTGCCTGCATTCATTTCTGAATCTACTATATTTTTTTTAATTCACCAAAACACATCAGTAAAACTGCTACTGTCGCTCTTATTCTTTACATTGAGCCAACATGGACGTTCCCATTGAGCAGCCCGGTCAACTGCCTTTATAAATGCTATGACTAAGTTGACCCTCTGCCTTCTCAGGAATTGACCGAATAAAGCATATTTTACCATTTTCCCTTTACATTAATCACCTCTACAGCCATATAGACGTTGTTTGCCATGTGTAGTTGGATTTTTCTGACCGGCACAGCGGTCTGTCAGGGATTGTCGCTGTGAAGGACCAAACATGGCTCTTCACGGAGTGAGCTGTGAAGCCGGTGGTGGTGGAGGTAGGAAAAATAAGGTTGCTGGTTGTTAGTCATGTGTTTGAGTGGGGTATTTTGCCTATTTCACTCAATTTGACTGAAACCTGTCGCAGGTTTGTCCTGTTTTGAAGCAGTAATGAGCGGCTAGGGAGCGTTAGCTTAGGTCAGCTTCCTATTCGCCCGCTTCATGATCGAATTGTCCCGTTCCACCTTAAATGGAGCAGCAGTTACGTTCTGGCGCCTCAACCTGAGGCGCCAGAACGTAACTGCTGCTCCATTTAAGGTGGAACGGGCGAATTCGACTAGGAAGCCGACTTCAGCCTCGTCCAGAACTTACTGTCTGCAGCCTCCTCCTTTCTTCTTTCTCTCTATCCCAGAAGAAAGCAGAGAAATGTCTGGAAGAAATGAATTTAACAGTCAAATCGGTGATGAGGGGTGAGTGTTTACTCACCAGTAAACAAGTAAACAGTAAACAGCGTTTTGCTGTGTTTTAGCTAGTGAACGTTAGCCGGGCCGTAGCCGGACTCCACTTTTTCACCTGCCTTTAGAAAAGCACCGCCACGAAGACGTTAAAGATGTCGTATATGTGTCTTTTTCACTTTTCTGAACACATTTTCGATTCTTAAACCCGACATTAAGGTCGAAATCTTCGACTTCTGTCCGGCTCTATTTGAATGAACCGAAGCTGCTAAGCTAACTCCGGCTGAGCCGGATGTGCCGCTCGAGCTCACAGCTCATTGGATACCGGCTGCGCGGACGGCCACGCTGAGGCTTCTGATTGGCTGCAGCTCTCAGCCGAAGTGGTGCCGGCGAAAGCGAAAGTGCCAGCGATGTCGAGGAGTTGTTGACGGTGTTTGACGAGCTTAATCTTATATACAGTATCAGATCAGATCAGTTATATTGTGCGTTCAGAATCTTCTCCAGACTGAAGTTTATATGCAGAAAACCAAAAATCTTTAGTAGTGTTTACTGTTAAAGTCATTTAAACCGAACTGGGTCTGTATTTTTTTTTTAAAAAACTATCTGTGAACATCATCACTGTTTTGAAACTTCTTAATCATTCATTTGATTCCACGTATGTTGTGCTAAACGTGTTTTCTCTGCTGTAGGCGTTAAGATGTGGATGCTGTGCGCATCTCTGGTGGTCCTGCACTTTGTGGCCTCTGCTGACGGGAGCTCAAAAGCTGTGACCACAACGCTGACCACCAAATGGCCCTCCACACCTCTCCTGCTGGAAGCCAGGTAGGCAGTAGTAGAGTAGAGGCACGATACTAGTTTATCTTTTACAATACCGATATTGATCCACTACCTCTTCTTTAAAACTGCTAAGCTTTAAAATGAGCTGTTTTTAATGGAAGCACTTCGCTTCACTGGATTGGATCAGATTCATTATTTTCCCCTCCTATATGATACAACATGTTGTGCGTGTATCAGCCCGATACCCTTTGATACCAATATGCTGTCTCTATTTGTTAGTGTGATGGTTTTAACACTATTTAAAGGCCATGTTTACACCGATCACCTCCTTGTATCTACACTCATTGTCCATTTTATCAGCTCCACTTACTATATATGTGCACTTTAGTTGTGCAGTTACAGACTGTAGTCCATCTGTTTCTCTGCATACTTTGTTAGCAGGTATTATTTGGGTGGTGGGTCACTCATTGTCCACTCTATTAGACACTCCTACCTTGTTGGTCCATCTTGTAGATGTAAAGTCAGTGAGGATCTGGTGCACAGTTTGTGTTGGTCATCCTCTAGTCCTTCATCAGTGGTCACAGGACGCTGTTGGCTGGATGTTTTTGGTTGGTGGACTATTCTCAGTCCAGCAGCAACACTGAGATGTTTAAAAACTCCAGCAGCACTGCTGTGTCTGATCCACTCTGACCAGTGCAAAACACACTAACACACCACCACATCAGTATTACAGTATTACCACCCAAATAGTACCTGCTCTGTGGTGGTCCTGTGGGGGTCCTGACCATTGAAGAACAGGGTAACAAAGTATACAGAGAAACAGATGGACTACAGTCTGTAATTGTAGAACTACAAAGTGCACCTATCTGGTAAGTGGAGCTGATAAAATGGACAATGAGTGTAGAAACAAGGAGGTGATTTTAATCATAATGTCATGGCTGATTGGTGTATAAGGCTACATGAAACCTTCATAAGCCCTTCATAAGGCAGCCAGCCTAAACCTACAAAAGCAAGTATGAAGTCTGATTCTTTTGTCAGCTGTCATAAAGAGTGCTTTAGTCAATTCTAATGTCAAGTTGATTGTATACAATGTTGTTGACATAAGGTAGAGCTTGGCGTACACTTATTTGATGTACTTGATGGTAAGATTACATAGATGTTATGCAGCCTTATGAGCCCTGCATTTGGATAAAGTGTAAACACATAATGTTGCTGTCTCCTCATTAAGGTTGTTCTGGAATATTTGACTAATTATAGCAAGAGAGCCAGGGAATTTTCTTCTGTCACAGGCAAGATTAGTACTATAATACATGTGAAGGTTATTGGAGCAATATTAGTCATAAATGTTGATCTTTGAAAGCTAAGATTGTCAGAAGAAGTCATTTTGCCGTCATGCATAAGTCCTGATGATTAATTCTTTGTTTACCAGTGAATTCCTCGCTGAGGAGAGCCAAGATAAATTCTGGGACTTTGTGGAGGCTAACCAGGACATCACAAACGAGCATGATGGTAATGCCCTACCACCACAGCGTCATATTCCTGCTTTCAGTTTCTCTGTCTAGACTACAGCCACGCTAGTAGATCACAATATACATCTTTCGTGAAGATTGAGAGTGCAAAACCAGCAGAAAAAAAGCTTGCTTGATGTTTTGTTTCCTTCAGACACTGACTTGTCCTACTATGAGCTGATCCTGAAGAGAGCAGGCCAGCTCCTGAGTCCTCTGCAGCTAAGGATGCTCAAATTTGCCCTGTCGCTGCGCTCCTACTCGTCCACCGTCCACTCTTTCCAGCAGGTCAGAGCCCAGAACAGTAATGTATCTAGCAGTAAAAGTTAGTAGAGCCCACTTGGCATGTTTAAGTTAACCAAATGCTAACAATATTTTACTATTTTTTTTATTAGTTATTAGCAGTGCTCTAATTTCTGGTTGAAATGCTCTCTAAGACACACTGTGTGCTGGTGTTTACTGTGTTAAGGTCTACATATGCCTTTAGTCCTTGCTGGCTTGGAACTTATGAGTTGTAACATGTCAGTAGTTGTCATGATCTGCCAAAGAAGACCATTGAATAGCAAACCGCAGTTGGAGGAAACCTTCTCCTGCTATGTAATTACACTGCATTTAACTTTGTTGTTTCTCATGCTACATAGATTGCATCCAATGAGCCTCCTCCGCCTTGGTGCCAGGCTTTCTTCAGCGTTCATGGGGAAAAATCATGTGACCCAGAGAGTCTGAAGACCCTGATTGACACAGCGTCAGAACGGTAAATGCAAAAGCCTGTTCACCAGCATAAGTGTTACGTTACGGTTTTAAATTTCCGTAAGTACACAAAGTTCTTTGCTATAGTCAACTGCACACATACCCTTTTCTGTGGGAATTTAACAGTGATTAAATGGGAAGGCTTAGGAACCAAAATTGTTGAAGGGCTCAGGTCTGAACAGAAGCTGATACATTACTAGGAAAGTAGTGTAAAGTAATGTAAGTGACACAGCATCGCCGTAAAAACACGGGAAAGCTGTGTGTTTCTGTCTGGGGGAAAAAAAAAAACGTATTTTGCATATAAGTATTTAAATTAAGTATGCCAGTAACATACTGGATTTTGAGTGTGATGTCCTTTTTTTTATTATTTAAAAATTCTTATTATTTATTTTATCAACTTTTACTTTTACTGCCTAGGCATTGTTTTACATTTTCCATTTCTTTTATTTGTTTTATTATCAGCATTTTCATTATTTTTCCCCATTTGGATCGTTATTTATTATGTTGCAGCTTCATTGGTTTATTCAGACTTGGTTTGTTTTTTTACCTCCAATTATGCCATTATTATTTATTATATGTTTTTTAACATTTGATATGCTTTTACAGTTAATTTGATACAGTCTAATTTGTATCAGTCCCTTCTTTATGTATAGCTCGGTTATATTGTAAATGATGGTCACCCTCATTGTGCTCCAAGTTTAAATAAAGGTTGATTCATTAAATGATGGTGTCTTAGATAGCTTGATAACTTCTATGTTAGCTCATTTTCTAACCACAGCTGCATACAAATCACCCCATTGCTGCTGACCACACCAGTTATCTACATTATCTACAGTGTGCCCCACTACGTAAAAATTTCTCACAGTCGTCTAATTGTTACTTATCCTTTCTCCCCTGTTCTTACAGGCCAAAACCGTTCCTGTTCAAAGGCGATCACAAGTTTCCTTCAGCCAATACAGGGGCTCCTGTTGTTATTCTGTATGCTGAGATGGGCACCAAAGAGTTTGCCAGCTTCCATCAGCTTATGCTCTCCAAAGCAAACAAAGGGCTGGTTAACTACGTCCTGCGACATTACCTTCCAGTAAGAATAGAACATTTACTCTAGTCCCAAAGACATAAACATGATTTCTCTGAATCACATGAAATCATACCAATGTAATGTACCAATTTGAATGAAATCATTGATTCAGTTGAACAGCATTTATCTGCAAATATTAAATGTGTGTGATTTGATATACATTCAGTGGAACTTGTAGATGCCCTTGGGTGACACAGCCTATAGTGTGAACCATCACACCAGTACTGCTCTCAGAGCAGCTTAAAGGGACCTATAACTGCTTTGCTTGACTAGAATTTAGCCCTTCTGGGAGTGGTTTTGACTATTTTTCAGTGGTAGCTGAGAGATGTTGATTTTGGTTGTGTCTGTATGCTAGAAGCCTTTCATCATCTCTGTTTCCATCAGCATCCTAGTAACAGTAAAGTGTTCCTGTCCGGCTATGGGGTTGAGCTGGCCATCAAAAACCAGGAGTACAAGGCCAAAGATGACACACAAGTTCAAGGTTCGATAACACGACCAAATGAGCTCAGTATGATTTTTGGCTCTCAAAAACAGTGTCAGTTCAGAGTCTCCCTATAACCTGTAGGTGCTGATGTCAACGCTACCGTGATTGGTGAGAACGACCCAGTGGATGAAGTCCAGGGTTTCCTGTTTGGGAAGCTCAAGTGAGTTTGTGCAGTTCAGAAGTGATGGTGTTACAGATGGATTATTGTATGTAAGTGAATTAGCTGAAATGTCTGCTTGCTTTCTATCCCAGAACTATCTACCCTGAGCTGAAGGAACAGCTGAAGGAGCTGCGGAAGCATCTAGTCGAAAGCACCAATGAGATGGCCCCGCTCAAAGTCTGGCAGATGCAGGGTGAGTATGCTTGGATGCGTATCTGACAAACAGACAGGAAAATATCGCTGTTGTTGGAAGAAAGCCTTGTATCTCCATTATTGATGTTTTTTCATTTTTCTGACATAATATGAAAATTGTTGCCCTTTACGTTGTCTGTAAATTTCGTGATGAACGGACTAAAAGAAATGACCCAAAATGACTTGGAAGAAATGTCTGGTTCCATTGACTTACATTAAAAGTACGGTAGGTTTTTTCCTTCTCCTGTAAAGTTATCATTTTGGAGAGTTTTCTTCTGACAACAGCGATTCTCCATCAATCTGCATGTATGAACTGTATGTCCAAAAGTATCCAGACAGCCTCCCTCACTGAAGTATTCAGGTCACACAAAAGATGGTTCTTCAAGGGTGCTTTAGTAAGAAAAACGGTACTATATAGAATTATGAACACTCAAATAACTCGCGTGATTAAAGAGTTCTTTGCATCATGCAATGGTTCTTCAGATTGATGGAGAATGTGCTGTAGATGGTTCTGTGTAGAACCCTTTTGGAAAGGGTTTCATAAAGCACCAAAAAGTGTTCCTCAGTTGTTACAGGCTTGACATTGTGACAATAGCAGAACCCATTTGGGTGCTATATCGAACCCTTTCCAAGAAGTCTATAGAGCCATCTACAGCACATTCAACGATCAGTCTGAAGAACCATTTCATGATGCAAAGGGTTCTTTGAGGACTCATGGTTCTGTACAGTACCATTTTCCTTAGTAAAGCACTCTTGAAGAACCAGTGTACTTTAAGAAGAATACATTGCTTGCACAATCATTCAGTTGCACATACACAGAAAGCCGCACATGAGCCTAAGGACACCGTGTCTAATGTTAAACGTAGAACAGAGGGGCATAAAGCCCCCAGCATTAGGCTGTGAAGCAGTGGAACTGCATTCTCTGGAGGCATGGAGCTCCATCCAGTACCTGTGGGATGACCATGACCTCACCTGGCCGCATACTTCTTTAAACAAAAACTACGCAGTGGTTTGGGTTCGTATGGTGTGGTTTGCACGGCTTGCGGAACGGCGTGTTGTTTGTTCCGAGTTTGCCCAACTAGATTCACACTAAAATCATTTGCTAAATGGTTTGAATGAATAAATCTAAAGAAGAACTTTGAATTTCGGCAAGCTAGGAAAGTATGTTCTGCTAAAGTCTTGCACACTATGTGGCGAGTTCCTTTCTTTACTAGGATACCTTTAGGATATTCAAACAATGCTGTAACATTAATGCTGTACCAAGGGACACATGAGCTGATTCCTCTGTCCATGTTAACTGTGCCTACACCTCAACTCTATTCCCTTGCCTTTTATTAGCTATGTCTCTGTTGGCCTACTGTGTACAGATCACATCACCTGAAGCTCATTAGAGCTCTGTTTGGAGGAAATCATTGGAGACTTCATCCACACCTTCTGACTGTTGGAAATATGCGTACATATTGTCTCAGTCGTTGTTAAATACCACACAGCTGGAAAACCTGATGCTTAGTCTTAAATGAAATTTTACTGTCAGGGAGGATTCTCCATTAAATTTCTTTGTTTAGACTTAGAACTTCTAGCTTGTACTTTTACTTGTTTTGTGTAGTTCCGACTGTACGGGTAAGTGAATGGATGATCAGTTAACCACAGGGAAGTAAAACGGCACAAAAACAAATTTCGGCATACGCTAATGTAGGGCTGAGGGTGTCCCTTTTTAGATGGAACTAACTATGGTCTGCAAAAACTGACTGCTGATGAAGAGCTTGTGCATGAACAGATGGGCCATAGTCTCTAACTGTACACCAGCAAAGTGGAGCTTCTAGGTTGGGGTTTCTAATAAAGTGGCCGCTAAATGGATGTAATAGATATCAAAGCCAAAGCTGTTCCTAATCAGAGATGCTACGTGCAGTTCGGATTACACTGGCTGACTCTTTGTAGACGTGAACAATTTGGGGAAAACTGTAATTTGTTTGATGAATATCGTGCCTGTAATTTAAATTGTGATTATTTTCTATAAATTAAAGTCCTTTTTTTCACAAGGAAGACCAGAACATGCTAGTTTTCAGGCACTTACTTGAAGCTGTAGCACTGGGCTGCCAAGTTGGTGAGGTTGTATAAGGACTGAACAATTACTTGTTTTTATATGGGAATTGCAATTAGAAAGAGTGCAGTTTTAAATCCAAGAGCTGCAATTATACTCTGCCTTTTTTCAATATGGTGGGTAAAGTTAGTCTAATAACTTGGAGTTTAAGAACTGACAAGCAAAAAAATGGATGTGCTGGGCATTATGAAAGGACAAGGCCTTAATTTATAGAAAATAATCTAATTTAAATCACAGTATTTGCCAGAAAAATCGCAATTAGATGTTTTCCCCAAGTTCTTTGATCCTTCGCTGTAGAGGTTTGGATCATGAATTTGATGACTTGAGACTCGACAAAATCAAAAAGGACTTGTGACTCAAATTTGACTTAAACACCAGTGACTCGGACTTCGACTTGGACTTGAGCCTCATGACTCAGAAAGACTCTACACAGTTACTTTTCATGTGAATGGATTCGTCTCCTGACGTAAATTTGATGTACAGCAATGTCATCAAATGTCTTTTACTGTGTTTATGCTTGGTTTATTTTATTTTGGAAGACAAGTGAAGCTTTAGAGTTCAGGTTTGCCTTTATAAGCTAGAAACAAGTGAAGCATCAGTAGCACTAATAAGCCCAGCTCAGCGCTTACACTCCACTCATACTTACCAGAAACTTACTAGGAGAAACTCACCAAGTGAACTGACCGTTTTCCTCTCCGTGGTAAAACAAAAGAAACAAAGCTCTCACTGTTTGACTGATTTTAACAGCATCTGCAGTTTAAAACAAGCGCAACATTCACCACAAGGCTGAAGTTGACTTTGTATTCACCAGTTTGATGTTCAGATTTGCTGTTCCACCTGAAACCGAATTTGCATAAGAAGCCAACTATATTACGGTTACCATTGTTTTTGGCATCTAGTGTTGAAGTGACCTTAAATTAGCAGAAGAATGCATAATGACTTGTTCAGAACTTGAAGATTAGGACTTGGGACTTGACCTCAGAGTGGCCTGTATTGACTTGGGACTCAACTTGAGACGTGCCTCTAATGACTCAGGACTTGAATCAGGACTCTACTGTCTTGACTTGGGACTTGAATGTCAAGACTCGAGACTTACTTGTTACATGCAGCTCGTGACTTGTTCCCACCTCTGCTAGGTTGTGTTATGTACACAGCACATGATTGCTTTTCAGTGGTGTAACTACAGACAATTCAGAAGCTCCAGGTTATTTGGTTAATTTTCCTCAATTAAAACGTGAGACAAAGCTGTTGGAAATCTAGGCTATAGTTAACATTGCTGCTATTGCAATTTAAAAATGCAGTATTTGCTCATTTTTTGCTCAGAATAATCTATTCTACTTGTTTGGACAATCTATTGAGCTAAATTTAGATCCCGTGGACAGTTTCACTCTTTCAGGTTGTGATTTTGATATAAAAATGATTAAGCCCTAATTCTGTTTCTCTCTTTAGATCTGAGCTTCCAGACAGCAGCCCGTATCCTGGCAGCCCCCTCTGTAGATGCCCTCAACGTTATGAGGGATTTGAGTCAGAACTTTCCCACCAAAGCCAGGTACGCACACTTCCCACAATCACCAGGAGCGACATTTTTCAAAAGAGATCTGTTTGGTATTGGTGCTAAATGATCAGTATGGTGTCACTGGACCTAACTTATGGTTTATAGGCTCCAGAAACATGGAAAGAGTCTTCATAAAATGTGTAGCGCTTTATATGTTTTAAAAATACCGTGCTTAGTGCTGCGTACATTTCAAGTGCATATTTATCTGCTCTAAAATCAGAAAATGAGTGCTTGAACTTTTCATGTATTAATTAGAGCCTTATGTTGTATTTACTTTACTCCAGTATTTGAGAAGTTTTAGAACAAAATGACACGCAGCCTGATTTATGTCTGGTGCTTGTGGCATAATTGTTAAAAGGTTGATTTAATTAACGCTTTGGAAAATAGTACCCAGCAGCAGTTGTGAACAAAGATTGCACTGGTGTATTGGGAGCTAGAGAGGTTTAAAAGAATGCTTTCAAAGAATACTTTACATGTTATCCACAGTAAAGCAGTCCTTGTGAAGTACTGAATGATGAAATTTGTATTTAGTAGTGTCTGTCAGTTTGCTGCAAATATTGGCCGATACACGTTAAATGGGAAAAGCTTCCATTTATTAGTTGCATAATTCACCTAGAGTTTATGTGGAAATGGAAGATAATAAAAGAACCAACATTAATGTTATTCATTGTATCTAATTAAATTTTGCTTTTCAGGTCCATAACCAAAACGGTGGTGAACTCGGAGATCCGTAAGGAGATCGAAGAGAACCAGAAGGTAGAGTGTTTTTTTGTTTTTTTTTCACCTCTCCGCCATCGTTTTCTATGCTTTTAAGCCATTCTGCTAGTCTGTTCTCCAGAGCTGGAGTTCTAACTGAGTGCCATATTAGCAATGACTAAGCCCTTATGAGTCCCAGCGGTGCTGCTGCGCTGTGCTGCAAGGCTACGATAATAGCCGTGAAAAAGGGCCTCAGTCAAACCTTTGTTTACGCCACATAACTCACACAGAGAGAAACCGTTAAGACTCAAGTTTTTTTTTCCCCTTTTCATCTTCCTGCAAATTGTAAGCAGCGTCTGCAGTGAAAGGGGACCCGCGTCTTCAAACAGCGGCTTCGGTTGTGCGTGCTAATGAAATGAGTGATGACTCTTTTGCGCTTCTTCACCAGCAGCCCTTCCATTCCGGTTTTATTTTCGAATGCTTGGATGTACTTCGTGTTTGTCCTTGATCCAGAAGGGAGAAGAGAATAAATTAAGCAATTACGCTTTTCCTGATTCGTCCGAGGCCTCCGTCATTGTGCTCCTCGTTAAAGTCTTATTGATCCAGAGTCATTTCTTGGTTGCTTTAATGAAACCTTTGGTGCATCTGTTTCCCATCCCTCAGTGTAATTGCACACACTGAGACATGACAAACAGACATCTCTCAAAGGAAGCACACGTGTTTACAGGCTAGCGAGCATGAGTGGGAGGGGTAAACATGAATATGTATGCGAGCACAGCCTTAGCCCCCTAAAGACGCCATCTTTTTATGGATGTGGTTTGTTTTTGCTTCCACATTACATATGAAGTGAATGTAACTTTGGGGATTTAGGAAAATAAATTGGGCTTTTTAGTGTTATATACACAATTTCCCCCTTCCTCCAAATATAGTCGATCAACCAAGGTGGAGTCTGAAGTTTGCGTCTGAAGTTTGCTTCTGTAGGTTTGCTCTGGAACTACCAGGCTAATGTAGCTAACAAGTAATGAAGACGTAGATCCCAACAATTAGTAATGGGCAAAAAGTTTATACCATATTATAATAAAAATTTGTGGCAGCTTCAGTAAATATCACAGTGTACTCTGATCAGCCACTTCATTAAGTACACCTTCTTGTATCTACACTCCACTGTCCACTTTATCAGCTCCACTTACTATATAGGTGCACTTTGTAGTTTTAGTGTGACCATTGATGAATCACTAAAGGACCACCAACACAAACTGTGCAGCAGATGAGCTACTGTCTCTGTTGACACCCTAAACAAGGTAGGAGTGTCTAATAGAGTGGACAGTGAGTGGACACAGTGTTTAAAAACTCCAGCAGCACTGCTGTGTCTGATCCACTCGTACCACAACAGCACAACACACACTAACACACCACCACCACGTCAGTGTTACTGCAGCGCGAGAATGATCCACCACCCAAATACTACCTGCTCTGTGGTGGTCCTGTGGGGGTCCTGACCACGGAAGAACAGGGTAACAAAGTATGTAGAGGAACAGATGGACTACAGTCTGTAATTGTAGAACTACAATGTGCTCCTACATGGTCAGTGGTGCTGATGAAACGGATGAAGACTGTAGAAACGAGGTTTATTGAGTGAAGTGGCCAGTCAGTGCATATATTTTATGAAATAAAACAATTTTAGATATTTAAGTAAACTGAAAATATCTAAATACATAAGGTTAACAGTAGCTTATTGTTCTGTCGTCATGTTTTAAAAATGAACCTAAAATATTTTTAATGTACAGAATAGTAAAAACAGTTCAGTTTCAGGAACATCCCTGATTCAGGCGTGCAACTAAACAGGATAACGTTAGCATGGTTTGCCCTGTTTGCAAATCGCATTATCTGCACTATTTTGTGGCGTACTGCTAATGACTATGACACAACTCTCATACCTGAGAAGGAATTTCAACCACTGTTAGAGTACTTTGCATTTCACGGCATTGCTGTGTTTTGCCATAACCAGGCAGAGAGTGATTTGCTATTGGACTGTTGTGATTTTATACGTTAATCCATATACTGTTTTCTTTGCTGTAGTATTTTAAGGGGTCATTGGGCCTGCAGCCGGGAGACTCGGCTCTCTTCATTAACGGACTCCACATTGACCTGGATGTGCAGGACATCTTCAGGTGGGAAGCGTTTATATGTACATACCCATTTAAATAGTAACATACATATCCAGACATATTTTGGTGTCATATACAAAAATATCTGACTGTGCATGAAAAACAAGCAAGTCCCATTAACTTCTATTGTAAGTTAAGGATGCATTTTCGTTCTTCTGTAAAGTTACTATTTGGAGATGCAGTAATTGTTACCCATATCGGATTAAGGAACATAACAATATAGATACTGAAAAATTTTGATCATTAGCATTGTTTTTATTGTAAAAGACTAACAAGTATGCTACAAATATATCACACCTACTGTAAGCTATTAAAACATGTTACTTCAAATACAAAAACAATTTCACCCACCAAACTTACAAACTTAATTGCACTTACAAATTCCACGAATACAGTGAGAAGTAGAGAAGATGACTGAGTGAAAGACTTATTATGCCATGTTTTAATACCATAGCAAACACCTGCGTGACGTGGCAATTCATGAACTGTTCCATATGCAAAAAGACATAGTAATACACTAGATTCATAAGCATGCTGCAGAAGTGTGAGTGTTTCTCTCTAATTGGGCGTTGTGTTGTAGTGTGTTTGACGTGCTGAGGAACGAGGCGCGTGTTATGGAGGGCTTGCGCAGCCTGCTTATCGACTCGCCCTTCATTCACGACATCCTCAAACTCAACGTGCAGCCGGCCGACTCGGACTACGCCGTAGACATCCGCAGCCCCTCCATCTACGTAAGTATGCAAACTGTCTTTTGTTACCTCCAATTAAAATAATGCTAATAATGTTGGGCCAGATCATTTGGTAAATATTAACAAACAATGGTGATTTTCTTGTTTTACAAATTATGTATGTTATATGTAAACTATCTGCAACACTTTTACAGCCGGGAATCTAAAGTGAAAGCAGTTCAGTTTATATAAATACAAACATTTAAACATAAATTACCAACATTTTACTCTAGAATAGGCGATATTAGCCCATAATAACCTTAACAAACACTCATATGCACTAGAGAAGACAATATTAGTCCATAAACAATGTCAGTAAACACGCTTGTCCATCCTGCCTTGACGCCTCCATTTGTGACCATAGACCAGAGCACCTTTAAAGATTTTTTTTTTTTTATTTGGCCAAAAACAAACACCCCAAACAAAATATGAAGAATAAGATGAGCCAAAGACAAACCGAAATCTGAGAGCTACTCATACCAAGAACAAGAATAGCAACCACCTGGGAAAAGGAGGGTAACAAACTCCACATACTGTACTGTTAATATATTAATTAACGATGAATAACTGTAAACGCTATATTAGTTGAGAATTAGTCAATTATGTATTACATATATATATATATATATATATATATATATATATATATATATATAATGGCTGATGGATACATTTTACAACTACTGTTATTATTATTATTAAGTGTTATCCTTATATTTATGTTTATTTGCATTTGTATATAATATATATACGTTATGATGATATATATATGTGTTTACAAACAGGAACACTCTTACTGTGCATATAAATGGTTTATATGATGTGCCACAGACTTTTATACAGAACTGTATGTATGTATGTAAACGCAGATCCATACATATTTACACCATATCATGTTCTTTCTTTCTCCAGTGGATAAACAATCTGGAGACCGATGGCAGGTACGTCTCCTGGCCCTCCAATGTGCAGGAACTGTTGCGGCCCACCTTCCCAGGGGTCATCAGACAGATCCGCAAGAACTTCCACAACCTGGTGAGCACTGCGTCAATTTTCTGAATCCTCTGCGCAAATTCACACCGCGGTGGGGGCCGTTTCGAAAATTACATTGTCTTTACTGACATGTGAGAAATGAGTGCTTCATTGCTTCCACTCTGCATCAGTCGAGCTGTTGGCGGGATGATGTCGAGTGCCTCTGAAAAAGAACGTGTGTAGAAGTGCTAAAGACAAACAGTTGGCTGCGCGAGAGTGACAAATTGGCTATCTGTCCCAATATATCTGTGAGCGATGAGTCATCAGAGAAGATTGAAGCAGCTAATTCTCTGACTCTTGAGCAGTTGAGCCAGAAGGGATTTCGTCATCTGATTAGATTTGCCTTTTCCGCTAATGTCTTCCTCTGTCGCCCACTGCTATGGTAATAATTCACAAAGTTTCCTGTCACGCTTTAGTCTCACATCCAGATTTAGACTTCAGATGAAGCGTAGTAAGTAGGACTGCACAGTATATCGGCAGGAGAAGTGATATTTATCGATAAATAGGTAAATGTATTTATTACCAGTCCTATATTAGGATTACAGGCCTGATATTGTATTGTTAGCATCTTTGGGCTGGCAGTTTCAATACTGGGCTGTTGATAATAACAGTTTTGTCTGTTTATTGATGAATAATACATGTGCTGCTGATATATTATGCACTCTTATCCTGTGTGCACACTGACGACGTAATTGGCCCAACAGCAGGAAGTCATTCATTTTGATGTGAAGAAGTTCAGCTGTGCTCAGTCCAAATGATGCAAACGAGCAGTGACACAGTGCAGCGATAACCAATCGGAAAACATGTTATTACATCCTGTGGAGAACACTGCCGCTGAATATTTGTTGATGTTGTAATGATGACCATAACTATGAAGCCTTAGTATAGCTTCATTGTGAACTGGGCTTACATTATAGGCCAAGTTAACTATTTTGTTTAATGTATATTGAAAAACATATATAATCCACTTTCCGAGACAGTTGCAGGTCACTCGTGATCGTGTTAACCTTCCTGTTATGTTCAACTGTAAGGAACAGCAGCAATGTTCCTGGGTCAAATTGACCCGATGCATGTTCAACTATCCATAAGTAGTTCATATCTACGAATTAAACAGTATCTTTGGCTCAATTAATATCAATTTAATAGTGTTTTTGAATTTTTCACCCATTATAGATTGGGGTTTACTTGTAATAGTTCACTTGTTTTTCATTAAAAATAACTTTTTTTCTGTACATTGTCAAAGTAGACATTGGTTTTATTTATTCCTCTTTAGACTTTTTCAGCATTTTTGATATTTTCTGTCATGGGGCATTGAGTAATACAAGCATCTGTTCTGCGTCAAACTCACCCTTTCAATTCAAATCACACTAAATGAGCCGTAAGACCAGCAGAAAAGCTTACATGCTCCAAAAATTATTAAAAATATTTCTCCTGTATTTTAAAACTTTGAAACGGATCAGATTGACCTGCAAACTAACAGGAAGGCTAACACTGTGAGCGAAACGATTTAGCCTGCTGAGCATTTGTGCTTGGCTTGGGGTAGAAATTAAAAGAAAAAAACGCTAAGAAGCCAAATATTATGAATTTATTATCTTAATTTTGATATCCACTTTCAGTTCTTTTTAGTTAATTAACTAAAGTTAAGTTAGGTGACATTAGTTAATAATTATAGGCTATGCTGGGTAAGTATGTTACCGGCTCCCATGCTTTTAAAAATGTCAGTCAAACTCTGCCTGCTCTTGCTTCGGAAAGCCACCAGTGTCAAGTGGATGCTTTCATTGTCAGCAGTGCACCTGGAGGATTACTAACTGCGCTTCGTCCGGAGTCTTAATCTGGGGTGAGTTTCCTGAAAGTGTTGGTGAACAACTACCTTAGTTAAATGATAGAGAGACTATCATTTTGAACACTCTCTCTCCACAGTTACCATGTTGGTTGCTCAGTAATGCTTTTGGGAAACACCGTCCTGGATGCAAGACTAAAGGAGTAACTGCATAATTGAGAAAACATGATCAGTTCCTAGTGTCAGTATTGGCCACAGTGAGGTTAATTATTGGATGTTGTTGTTGTTGTTGTTGTTGTTGTTGTTGTTGTTGTCTGAAATTCCAGTATTTTGGGGTTCGTTTTGTAGGTACTCGTCTTGGACCCCACTCATGAGAACACAGCAGAGCTGCTGAGCGTGGCAGAAATGTTCTACAGCAACAACATCCCTCTCAGGTAAGTCATCATTTCACTTTGAGAACTGGTCCTCAACATACAAGGGCTTTCTGGCTTCATAAACAGCACCTGACCACAGGCTCTTATTTAATGGACTTTTAACTTGAAGTAATGGTGACACTTTATTTGGAGTGGTCCTTTTAGATGAAACAAACACTCAACAGACTCTCAGTAACATATCAAAAGGGTTAGGATTAGGTTTTGGGTTGAGGTTAAGGTTAGGATTAGGGCCAGGGTGGGGATTAGGTTTTAGGTAAGGTTAGATTTTGTAACATAAGTAACATATTAACAATACATCTACTTAATATAAGTAATGTATCAACAGAACATCTTCAAAGTATTCAGTGTATTCAGATGTTTCACTACTGCTACTTCAATGATATGTTGTTGATGTGTTACTGATAATCTGTTAAGAGTTTATTAATCATCTACAAAGGATCACTCCAAATAAAGTGTTACCAAAATAATAAGTTTTATTAATCCTACAATAGAGAAATTCCCCTCCGCATTTAACCCATCTGTGCAGTGAAACATGCACGCTAGTGAACACACACACGAGGGGGCATTGAGCACGCTTGCCCAGAGCAGCGGGCAGCCCGATCCACAGCGCCCAGGGAGCAGTTAGGGGTTAGGTGCCTTGCGCAAGGGCACTTCAGTCATGTCCTATCAGCTCAGGGGATCGAACCGGCGACCTTCCGGTCACAAGGCTGGTTCCCTAACCTCCAGCCCACGACCCCAAGAGATGACTGCATTGCCCGGGGAATCGAACCTGGGTCAAGTGCTTGGAAGGCAGCTATGCTAACCGCTATACCACCAACGCCTTTTAATAATTCAGCAACACTACATACCAAAAGCATAGAAGCAAGCAGTTTCAAGAATGTTTGGTTTATTATTAAGCCAGTTTGCCAACAACCAGCACACCACATATTTACAGTTATCTAGTTTGAAAGAATCATTCTGCGTAAAATCCAGTGTTCAGTTTTCCACTCACCGCAGATGTAGTCGATCAGCCAAGACATGTTTGGTGTTTAAATTCTGCTTCTTTAGTGTAGTGCTGGAGCTACGAGGCTGATGTTGCTAACATACTGGAAGTCAACAGTCACTCAAATCTTTTCTGTAAATACATCTCCAAATCATCTCTAATCCAGTGACAAATGCATCCAGGTCTTCATAAAGGTTGGGCTGAACTTTGTATGGTATAGGACAGTGTTTCTAAACCTCACTGCCCTACACATTTTAGTGCTGTTCCGGTTTAATGCAGCCACTTTAACTCAGTAATGGGCTGTTAATGAGCTGATTCGTTGTATTAGGTGTATTGGTAGCAGGGGAGACACTAAAAAGTGCAGGGCAGTGGGCCTCCGCTACCAGGCTTGAGAAACGCTGGTACAGGACACTATGAGCTATAAAACATTAGCCAAACTTGGCTGGACGCAGACTTTAGGCAATAGTTTTTGTGCCAGATTTCACTTCCTTCTTCTTCCCTTCTTGTTGACGTGGAAATATAGATACTAGATTTCACTTATGATGTCTGCTGTTTCTGTTTTTAAACATATAACATGAACATATATATTTAAACAGTAAGATTAACAGTTTAATGAATGTCGTCTGTGGCTTCAAAATGCCTGCATGATGGGAGACGAAATTCACACAACATCTGTTGTCTAAAGTGGCCGTTACTTTTGACCTAAATGTCAAAAGTAACGTTTTAGGGATGTATTTATGAAAAAGAAGCAACATTTGGACCCCAAGCATGTCATGACTGATTGAACACATTGGGCTAAGTGGAAGATTGTGTGAATTTGTGATTGTTTGCCTTATGGAAAGGAGATCATGCTTTTATTCATCGTGGGCATTGTTAGCATAATAGTTGAGTTCTCCTTTAACTGTCCAGTGCGTTTCATTGGCTTGTTTTGCTGTGTTGAACAAGGTTATGATGAGCTGATTGCACTAATCCCAGCAGTAGAACGTGTTGATGTATTACTCATTAACTACATGTCTACATTTGTTTTACTATCCCCTGCAGGATTGGGCTGGTGTTTGTGGTGAATGATGCGGATGACATTGACGGCATGCAGGACGCTGGAGTGGCGATGCTGCGAGCTTTCAACTACATCGCCGACGAGGTGGACAACCAGATGGCCTTCGACGCCATCCTATCAGTAAGTCGATTGCCGTTACTGTACACAGGCAAGTTTGCTATGAAGTGGTCGTCAATGTCAGTCTTTTAACCAAACATTGAACTGTTTGGGCTTCGTTTGGAACTGACAACTTTAATGAATATTATTTGTGCAACACTTTTATAAGTGTAATTTTATAAATGTTTGCTGTATAGTTATGTTGAAAGACACCTTCAGAAAGCCTTGTCAAAAAGTTTAATAGAAATAAAATACATTTAGCCAACAAGACAGCACGAAAAAATGAAGATATTTTGATGATCATGAAATAAACTACACATTTAGAAATATTGCAGGTCAGAAGTTCGGCAGCAACACTAAAAGGCATGAAAATGTCATGTAAAATATAATTGACAGCTTAAAACGTGAGCGTGTTTGTTTTAATCAGATGCTGAACCGAGTGCCCAGTGGAGGAAAGCTGAAGGTGGAGCATGTAGTGGGGGTTTTGGAGAAGCGCTATCCCTACGTGGAGGTCAGCAGTATCCTGGGAGCGGACTCGGCCTACGACAGCAACCGCAAGGTACGCAAAGACTTCTTTTTAGTTGTTGTCATGTTTTTTTTCTTTAATGACACCACTTCTCTGTCTGAATCATGCTTCACTATAAGAAGTTAGCCTTCTGAAAGTATATCTTCATGGCATCAGGAGCCCGACAGGCTTTTGAGTATAACAGAGTTGGTCCTGGTGATCAGCTGCCCTGGAGTGTTTTGTAACTGAGCTGCAACTGTTGACTATTTTCATTTTCAGATATTGTATCGAATATTACCTCGAATGTAAGGGATGTTGAAGATATGTCTCACTTTAATGATGAAGTTATTTTGTTAAATTACCTTTTATTAATCCCACAACAGGGAAATTCACCTCCGCATTTAACCCATCTGTGCAGTGAAACACCCACATACACACTAGTGAATGCACACACACTAGGGGGCAGTGAGCACACTTGCCCAGAGTGGTTGGCAGCCGTATCCGCAGCTCCCGGGGCGCAGTTGGGGGTTAGGTGCCTTGCTCAAGGGCACTTTAGTCATGTTCTGTCAGCTCGGGGGAACGAACCAGTGACCTTTCAATCACAAGCCTGGTTCCCTAACCTCCAGCCCACGACTTTTATCTTATTGTCATTTTTTGTATTATTACAATTATTAGTGAGATGTGATAGACTTTCGTGTTGTCTGTATTGGTGCAGGAAGGGAAGGCGTACTACGAGCAGACTGGAGTGGGGCCGCTGCCTGTGGTGATGTATAACGGCATGCCTCTGCAGCGCGAGCAGCTTGACCCCGATGAACTAGAGACCACTGTCATGCACAAGATCCTGGAGACCACCAGCTTCTTCCAGCGCGCTGTTTACTTGGTAAGAGCAGCTTCTACTTCTCCTGTTTTTCCATATCATTATAGATCGTTATCACTGCCAGCTCTTAGTGCACAACTTCAAGTCTGAATAAGATTTTGAATCCTAAAAAAAATTTAAATATTCTGTTGTAATTTACAAAATTACTTAATGAAGCATCAAATAAGGAAGAATAAATCAAATCTGAAAGGGAAGTTTGTAAACGTACTTTTAAGTTGGCGGACAGAGCCAGCTAACAATGCTTCAAAAGCAATGCGTTGCTATGGTATTACAGCTTGTTGTTAGGGCATTGCTTGATGATTACTAGGCTGGTGCTGTGGTATCCCAGGTGGCTGCTAAGGTGTTGCTAGGCTGTTGCTACAGTATCCCAGGTGGTTGCTAAGGTTTTCCTAGGCTGTTGCTACAGTATCCCACATGGTTGCTAAGGCATTGCCAGGCAGTTGATATGCCATCCTAGGTGGTTGCTAAGGTTTTGATAGGATGTTGCTGCGGTATCCCAGGTGGTTGCTAAGGTGTCGCTAGGCTGTTGCTACAGTATCACAGGTGGTTGCTAAGGTGTTGCTAGGCTATTGATATGCCGTCTCAGGTGGTTGCTAAGGTTTTCCTAGGCTGTTGCTACAGTATCCCAGGTGGTTGCTAAGGTGTTGCTAGGCTGTTGATATGCCATCCTAGGTGGTTGCTCAGGTGTTGCTAGGCTGTTGATATGCCATCCCAGGTGGTTGCTAAAGCGTCGCTAGGCTGTTAATATGCTATCCCAGGTGGTTGCTAAGGTGTCACTAGGCTGTTGATACGCTACCCCAGGTGGTTGCTAAGGTTTTGCTAGGCTGTTGATATGCCATCCCAGGTGGTCGGCAAGGTGTTGCTAGGCTGTTAATATGCTATCCCAGGTGGTTGCTAAGGTGTCACTAGGCTGTTGATATGCAATCCCAGGTGGTTGCTAAGGTGTCGCTAGGCTGTTGATATGCCATCCCAGGTGGTCGCTAAGGTGTTGCTAGGCTGTTGATATGCCATCCCAGGTGGTCGCCAAGGTGTTGCTAGGCTGTTGATATGCCATCCCAGGTGGTTACTAAGGTGTTGATAGGCTGTTGCTACAGTATCCCAGGTGGTTGCTAAGGTGTTGCTAGGCTATTGATATGCCATCCCAGGTGGTTGCTAAGGTGTTGATAGAAAAAGGTGCCACTGAAGTAGCAGGAATTGAAAGTGCAAGTCTTTACTGCTGATACTGAATCAGGCAATGGAAACAAAATGCCTCAAAATGTTTGATTCTACAATTAGCGTTAACTTTTTATTACCCAGGCCTGCTATGATGTAATGCGTTCTACTGTTCAAAGACAACATAGTCAGGAAAGAGCTTTAGCTCAGTGGTGATTTTGCAGATATAACAGAGGACACAGTTACTCCTGTGTTTCTTCTACATGTATGTAATGGAGGTCCCCACTAATTGTCAAGACTGTAGCTGATGACCTGGTGTTCTAACTACTTTCTCAGGGAGAGCTGGCAACCGACCACGACGTGTTGGACTTCATCATGAATCAGCCCAATGTGGTGCCACGGATCAACTCCAGGATCCTGACCACAACCAGGACCTACCTGGACCTGTCCAGCACCAGTCAGTTCACTTTTCAGTTCACAATTTAACAATTCAAATGAGACCAGGCTGCTTATCTCACTTCCAACCATCTATTTTCTGTTCGTGAAAAGCATTGCCCTGCTAGTCTGAGCCGTCGCCTGGTGCTTGGCTGGCGCTGGGGAGTGCCGCCTCATTCTTAATTCCATGCTAAATGTCTTGTTTGTTCTTGAAAATCCATTTATGTACAAAGAGTGGGAGAAAATGAGGCGCTGGCAATGATATTCATAACCCATTTTGTTTCCTCAAGGAGATGAATTTTGATCAAGTTTGCGAGTGCGTGTTTGCACGCTCTGGGAGGCTGAAGTAGGAACATGAACTCAAACAGTCGATGTTCTGAATACAAAACTGCATCAGTTTGATTTGAAGCGTGTTAAAAAAAGGACGTGTACTACTTCTGTAAGCTGTTTTAACTATGTAATCACTTTATTTCTGTTATGTTTCTCCCTCTAGACAACCATTTCATTGATGAATACTCCCGCTTTCTCTTCCTGGACACCAAAGAGAAGAACACAGCTGTGGCTAACAGCATGAACTACATGACGAAGAAAGGTAAGGCGATAGCTGTCATTAACCTGTGAAGTGGGAAAGGCACCTAATTACATTTGGCTCACGTAAGGAGTGACATGTGCGAGACTGGTCATTATCGGCTAATATCAGGAAATAGCCTGTCACCACTGAGCTGTAGCCAGTATAGGAGCTTCAGCATATTTTCAGCCTCCCTCATTTTCCTGCTCTCTTAAAGTCTGAAGCTGCTGCTGTTCAAAAAGCTTCCGATTGGTCAGGAGATGTGCTTCCACTCACTCGCCACTTTACGAGCTCCACCTACTTTTGTAGGTCTGCTGTACTGGACACACTGTAGCCCATCTGTTCATGCACAGCTTGTCAGCCATCCTTCAGCCCATTCATCACTGGTCAGGCTTACTATTGACCAGATATTATTTGGGTGGTGGACCATTTTCAGCTCTGACACTGACATGGTGGTGTGTGTGGTGCTGGTATGAATGCTGCTGGGTTACTCAAAAATACCCAGCCAAACTGTCCATTGATTAAGGGCTAGAGGATGGCCAACACAAACTGTGCACGGGTTGGTTACAGTCCAGTCAGGAGGAGTTACAAGGTAGGTATTGTTGGTGTATAGTACTGTGCAAAAGTCCACACCTTCATTCATTTAATTTCCAGGCAAAACAGCCATTAAATACAAGTTATTCATTTTTCAGGAGCTATTTCTGAGGAGATTCGATATAAGAAAAAGTAAGGAAAGGGCGAGTTAAAGGAAAGTAAGCGAAAAAAAAAACAAGAAAATGGGACTCCTAACAATCATGCAGGTCCTGGTAGACCACTGAAGCTGTCACCATCAGATAAACAATGCTTAAAGTTTTGAGAGATAGGAGAAAACGTCTGTGAGAACTCAGCGCTGTGGGTCTGGAAAGATGTGTAGATGTCAAAAAGCTGTTTATATAAGAAAAAGCACAAGAAAAGAAGAAATACAACAAAGAAGCTGTTGGTGTTTCTATTCTCAGAGCAATGGACTGACCACCCCAGAGTCCAGATTGAATGTGTTTGGATCGTGAGAAGAGAATAATGCAAAACCAACGTCTGAGGCCAGATTCACACATGCTGCGTCTGTCATGCTTTTCATTTCGGCGCCCATGTTAACTGGTCAGCGCTTTCGCACAGGCTGCGTGTGTGAAGTGGCAGAGAGTCCCAGACGGCGCACTGAAGCACCGCTGTGTTTAGAGAATAGATCCCAGCGCCGATTTTTTTTCCTCTGCACGCCGTGCGCGTCACACAGCAAAATACACTGAAATAAGCCACGAAACTGAGTGAAAATTAAACAGAAAACTGTATGTTAACTTAAAATCGCTGTCTTTTTTCCATTTTATGTAATTCATGACAAAATGTTAGTTAAACGTTTTGTGTTTCCCGGTTGGTCTACCAGGCCTCAAACTTTTGCCTAATCACGTCAGAATGCTTTCGAGGATAAACAAACATACTGTGTACTTTTATAAATTATAATTTTATTGAGCAGAGTCCTGACGTGACCATTTATCCATCTGGAAACAGAAATGTCTGTATAACTTTCTTGCTGCTCCGCTCCACAGCACAAACGCTGTATGTATGTATGTATGTATGATTTCTTTGGAAAACTAAAGCAAGTCTCCTGAAAAGAATGGACACTGTAAGAAAGGCAAAAAGTGAATGCGCTAAATACTGAAAAATATGCAAATGCCTTATGCTAATTTGTACAGCATAATAACCTGTACTTAATGGCCGTTTTGACTGAAAAGTGAATGAAGAGTGCTCTTTGACCTTTGCACAGTACTGTATACTGTATATCTAACCTCAATTTTTTTACCTTTTAAGGCCAAATAAGTCAAATGATGCCCATAGTGCACTGATTCCAGATCAGGATGCAGATACATATCCTAATGTTTTTTCACTCTTTTGCACTTTTGCATGTTTCTTTCCTCCCGACTGTCTGTGTTCCTACATTTTCTCTCTTTCCCTGTTTTTCTGTTTGTTCACATTGGTGGCTGCTGTAGGAATGCAGTCCGGTGACGCCTCTGGTAATTGTCTTTGTTTGCACTGTGAAATTTGGTTGGACTGCGCCAGATTTGTTTCATCTTAATAATGCTAATTGTCATAAATCTCATCCCAGCATCTTGAACATCTTGTGTTGGAGGGAAAGCTTAATGTCTTGCATCATCTACATTAGCATGCGTCTGCTCCTGCTGCAGTTGTATTTATTTATTTTTTTTCTTTTTTGGTCTCAGGCTGAACTGAACTGCAATTTCCAGTTTTCAGTTTTGTCTTTTGTGCATGTGTATATGTGTGTGAAGGGCTTTGTTGGCTTCATGTATGGATTTGAACACAGCAACACATTTGTCATCAGTCAGAATGTCAGTGTTAGATGGATGAGCGGCAGCGTCTCGATATTCCCCCCTCCTCTTTTCTGTTTCTCTCTCACCACACAAACGGTCTCTTCTCAGTTGTTGTCTTAGTTGACGGAGGTTCTTTCAGGGCCAGGTTTTAAACTGATAATGGTATTTATGAGAATCAGGTATCAGCAAAAAGGCTTGAACTTTGAACAGTTTCTACTGCAGCACTTTGTGAGATACACTTTTACTTGCTCTGTGGGGTGGGAGAAGTCTAGCCATTCACTGATAACAGCAAAAACCAGCAGCCTCTTCCGAAAGGCTGGCTAGCCCTACCGTCGTTCTCTACACTTGAACAATTGATGACAGCGTGACTGCTAGTGCACCGATTTGGACAGTGCTTTAGGAGTGTTAGCTGTCCAGCTTTTCTTAGGCCGTTATTCTCTTTTTGTGTGTCTAGTAATGCAGTTTTAAATGTAAAAACCCAGTAAAAAGCGTATATACTGAACGAAATACTGGAATACTCAGTGCAACCCTTAACAGTAATATTTACATTTCATTTCAGAAATGTTCATTAGTTCATGTTATGTAGTTCGTTTTGTAATCCAAATATTCCGGTTTTTGATTTGTAACAAAGAGTTACTCATTTACACATCCCTAAATGTAATGTCAGATGAGGAAACAGATATGTCTGGCTGGATTTCTGCTTACCTAGTCAGCAGAGATGACGCAGAGCTAAGTTCAAGACATACGTTGTTTAAAATCTTTGTGATTTTAAGTACTGACGATATCCATGATACTTTAAAAAAGCAAACTGTGATGTAATTTTTCATGATAGTAATAAATATTATCATATCGTCCAGCCCTAAGCCCTGCTTACTTATTTTATATTCTGTAATTAGGAAATGCATGTAATAATTATCAATACTGTATGGTATGTAAAAAGATATCATACCATTTTTGGCCACCCAAGCCTGGGTGTTTTTCTATGTGAACTACCATTGCTGAAGGCTTTTGGCCTGCAATGCCCAACATAACTAATGGTGTCTCTTGATTTTGACTGCTGGTTTGCATGGAGAAGGCCTCCATGTTGTCTCTGCCAGGTAACGGCCCTCATATACACACTCTGCGGCTCTCTGATTTACAGATGATGGCGTGATTCGTCCTGTGACGTTCTGGGTTGTAGGAGACTTTGACCACCCCTCGGGCCGACAACTGCTGTATGATGCCATCAGACACATGGTAACTATTACTGCAACAGTCTTTCAGACCCCGTTAAAGAAATGTCTTGGTTCAAAATTGATTTGTTGCACTCTTTTTCTCTTATGCCAAATAGCAGATGGGATTAGGAAGTTTGCTTCTTGTTTTGTGCTGGTGATATGAGGCAAATGCCGGTAACAAGTAATGTAAGCTTATACTTGCATGCCTAAATCATCTCACGCTTGTTACAAAGCATATGAAGGTATCTCATATAGGCTCATGTGGTTTCTGATACTGTGTGAAATGCTATCAAAGTAGATTAAAGTACAGACAAAATTAAAGCTACAAAAAGGCTGCTGCTACTGTTAAAGAAGCAGTTTCACCAGAAAGACAAGCCTAGTGTTAAGTGTCAACCAACTGGACCAGTTACCATTATGTACATATGAATATCGCTGTTGTCGTGACAAAACCTCATATCTCCAAAATGGTAGCTTTACAGGCGAAGGAAAAAACATACTTTACTTTTAATGTAAGTCAATGGAACCAGCCTTTTTTTTTCCCAAGTGATTTTGAGCCATTTGTTTTGGTCCGTTTATCATAAAATTTACATACAACAGAAAGGGCAACTGGCATTTTCAAATCATGTCAAAAACTGAAAAACGACAGCAGCGATATGATAACTGTCCCAGTTGGGTTTTGCACTTTGTTAGTAGCATTAGAGTGTTTTTGGTAAGTCTCATACTTAGAGAGTGCAGGATTGGACCGGTTGTTGAGTTGGATATGGAAGTGCGTTATGGCTTTGTTACTTAGAAAATGCCTGTGCTTAATTATCTAAAGTCAATCGTTCGTTTTGTAATTCAACATGTTAATTATTCATATGTGTCTCTCTTGTTCAGAAAACCAGTAATAATGTGCGCTTGGGGATGATCAGTAACCCGACTGAGAGCCCCTCCAGTGCAACCACCCTGATTGCCCGGGCCATCTGGGCAGCCATGCAGACGCAAACGGCCAACAACGCCAAGAACTTCATCACCAAGTTGGCCAAGGAGGAGACGGCCCAGGCGCTTTACGATGGGACCAACATCGCTGAGTTCGCTGTTGGGGTAAAGAAAACAGCTGTACCAGTTGAAAGTTTGAACACGCCTGAATAAATATAAAAAGGAAACAAGTATTCAGAGCGAATAATACGGCAGTAACACGTTTGCTCATTCTTAAACAAGGATTACGGGCGTGTTTTAATGCTTACGTGATGTGTGTTCACACAGTTACTTAATTTACATATGATTGTAGTGATTCATTACACAACATAGTCCCACAAAAAATGTACACGTGATTTAGCCTGATGTAAATTTTTCCAGTAAGAAGCTGATGTGGATTAAATTGTATTTGACAGTGTTTCCAAACATGTTTGTTCACACAAGCAACAAATCACAAATACACACACAAAAGACACTATTTAGTCTGTTTGGACTGAACATTATGATAGACCTTCTAACTTCTGTTATAATAGAACACGAGGAGAAAAATAGAAAAATAGGGATTGTGTCGTGTAATGAGATAAAAGCTGAACAGTTTGCCGCAGTAATTAAAAGAATTTCAGTTTAATTTTGAATGGTAAGAAAAAATACTAAATGTTGAAGTTTTATTATTAGTAGTATAATCATTACTTACAATATTATTATTAGTATTATTATTAGAAAAAATACTAAATGTTAAACTTCATAATAGCAAAAATTATTATTGTATAATGAATTGGAAAAGGCTTGAAATTATTATTATTATTATTATTATTATTATTACTATTAGTAGTAGTAGTAGTAGTAGTAGTAGGAATAGTAGGAGTAGTAAAAGTAGTAGTACTAGTAGTATTATAAAAAAATGCTAAATGTTAGACTTCATAATAGTAATAATTATTACTGTATAATGAATTGGAAAAGGCTTGAAATGATAGTATTATTATTATTATTTAATTACTTAATTAAAAAGCGTACACGCTAAAATATAATTTCTACAGATAATTTTAAGATTTAATAGTTCTTTGTAGATACTCTTTCGGATAAGGAGCTTTGTTTCTTTATTAAAAGTTAACAGCATGTTTACCAAACAATTTCCTATTATTTCTCAGCAGTTCTTCCCTTAAAATTTGTAGCTCTGTTTCTGAGAATTTAGATTTTAATGTATGACCTCATTTACATACTGGAGGTATATAAAATAATCAGAAAAGTCTGAATATTTGTTTCCTTTTAACGTATGTGAGGTAGGGTGGGTCTAAATTAGGACTGGGTATCATTAAAATGTTTTGTACAGCTACAAATAGCACTAATTTAAGCACTAATAGCACTAATCTAAGCTATACATTTCAGTTTGAAATGTGGTATTGAATGACCTGTTGTTGGGACTGTATCATTGAATTAATTCAGAAAAAATGGTATCATAAAAATCCTGAATTCCTGTACACAGCCCTAGTAGCAAAAGTAATGCACAACCCTTTTCATGAGGTTATGCTGCATATGTGAACATATTTTATATGATATTCTTATTAGTAATATCTGCAGATCTTGCATCATGAGCTGCAGAATGAGTAATATTCTGGTTGTAAAGTGCTTCTCTTGTGCTCTTCCACAGGGCATGGATGTACCTTTGTTTAAGAGTGCGTACGAGTCGCCTAAAGTGGACTTCCTTTTGGCTCACGCTGCTTATTGCCGGGACGTCCTCAAGCTGCGCAAAGGCCAGAGGGCTGTCATCAGTAATGGACGGGTGGGTTTAACTTAATCGATTTAAGGAGGCCCTCAGGGTTACTGACATGCATGACTTTGCATACTCATCATAGTTTTTACTCTTCTATCTTTTACCCTTGCAGATCATTGGTCCACTGGAGGATGGGGAGGTCTTTAACCAGGACGATTTCCTGCTTCTCGAGAGCATTATTCTGAAGACCTCTGGAGAAAGAATCAAAAACAAAGTGCAGCAGCTTGGTGTGGAGGAGGACAGGTATGGCAGCTATGGCTTCATTCCTGATGGCTCCGCCTCCTCAGACGTACTCTCTGGTTCTTATTTTATCAAAGTTGCAGACGGTTTAAAACCGTTTGAGTTTAAGTCATTCAATCTTTAGGCAAAACTCGGATTCACACAGTTTTGTTCTTATTCATAACTTCGGTATGTGAAGTTTGCTTTTCTTATTTTGCACTGGAGCTGATGTAGCTAAGGCAAAAGTAGCTAGTATGACATTAATTTGACAATTTTTGTAGATAAGATAAAAATGTAAGTGCGTTTCTGAATAAAGTTTCACTTTATTTATCGTTTCTGCATCTATAACATAGCAAAAACAGCAGAAAAATATAATTATTAAATTAAATCATTTCAACCATCCGAAACCTGAAAAAAAAAATAAAAATTTCGGTCACAATTTTTTTCACTGCTGTTTGAAAAAATATATTGGGTAACAATTAATACGTTACACCAGGGGTCACAAGTCGAGACATTAGGTATACTGGTTGTCCCCTTACACAATTGACAGTTCACTGATTATAAATAAAAAGAGCCAGTGGGCTTTCTGGTAAAGACGTAAGTGGAAAAAGCCCAGCCCCTTGTTGTGGAGATGCAGTAGCAGAACAACTTATAAAAGCTTATAAAACTTTTTTTGTGCATTATTTGAGCCAAATGCTACAAACTGTTTCTATGATTTTCAGATTTTAACAGTGATTTCATATTTCTGGAATGTTAATCCTTTAAGACCAGTTTAAAAATGGCCGTTTCTTCAGTTTTATTGATTCTTTTTTGTTAATGACGTAATTTCTGAATGCCATTGTTGCGTTCTTTTAACGTGGAAGGAGCAACGTGAGCTACCAAAACTAATATTTTTCTTTAGTTTATGCCACAAACTACCTTGTTAAACAAGAAAACACATTTATCAGTGCACACTTTATCAGTACTCTGATTAAACAAATCAGTAATAAGCGTTAAATGGTCTGATCTGTGCTCTGAATGCGATCTCATTGCAGTGCATCAAGACTTTAAGGCTTGTGCTTCTTTTAATCTTTTACAGTGATAGAGAAATAGCTCCAGTTCTGCGTGCTGAAATTGCTAAAGTGCTGTTTCTGTAGAAGTGCAACTGCAATATGTCTTATAACATTTACGTCTTTGCTTGTGTGGCTTTTTCAGAGCCAGTGATTTGGTCATGAAGGTGGACGCGCTGCTGTCCTCGCAGCCCAAAGGCGAGGCGCGGATTGAGTACGGCTTCGTGGCGGACAGATACAGGTAATTCATTCTTTCTCTCATATTGTGGGAACAAATGAATTGAAGCATTGACTATTGGAAGTGGTTTCATCATCTCCAGGTGGTCCATTCTGTCAGTAATTTGTTTCTCATCTCCACAGCGCCGTGAAGATCCGGCCCAAGGAGGAGGAGGTGTATTTTGACGTGGTGGCCGTGGTGGACCCCGTGACCAGAGATGCACAGAAACTGGCCCCTCTACTCTTGGTAAGAGCAACAGCACTGTGACTTATTTGGCAGTCTTACATGTCCCTAATGACTTGGCTTGTATTGAGAAGTCTGAAAAATATAGGATATTAAAATATATAGTGCTGCACTATATTAAATATATAGTATAGTACAGCAATGGTTCCCAAACTTTTTACAGTCTTGTACCCCCTCAGATATTAAGGCTCCTCCTGTGTACCCTCTCTCACTCCTTAGGCCACACTTATGGGCATATTTGCCATAATGCATATCATTAATGCCAAAAAAGACATGTATATCCATTTGTGTTGATTTTTTTTATTTTTCTGTGCTATTTGAACGTGGCAGCTCGTTTACATGGTGGGCCAATAGAAATGCACCAAAATCACTTAAAATAAAACTTTATTACATTATTTTACATGCATTTTTTTTTGCATACTATACATTAATCAGTTAATTCTACTTTCATTAGATTCTGCTGAACTGAGAAGGTTCTGGAGTGAAATGCTGGATGTTAATCATATCAAGTTCACTCATCACTCATGCAGAGTACATTCCAGAAATGAAGATGTAACATGTAATATGTTTTGATGTACCCCCATTGGGCGTACCCCTGGGGATACATGCACCCAGTGTGGGAGCCACTGTAGGATAATGTATGAAGGCATTGATAAGTTAGTATAATCTAAAAACAGCAGTAATGCCACAATTAAAAATTGTACTAGGAGCTAAAAGTACGATGATTTTATTATTTATTTTCCCGACAGTATTTATTTCCATACAGCTTAGCACTGCACCCACTTAGCCTCTCATGACCTTCTGGCATCATAGGGATTTGAACAGGGCCAAACTACCACACTGGAGAGCCTCTTCTAAATCTCTTTGTAATGAACTTGAACATGAAATGAACTGCACAATTTGGAAGCTATGAAGCTGCATTTTACTAGTATTGTTCTGAAATCATAAGTGTTTTGAATATATAGCCAAAAAATAGTCTGCTTATCTTGACCTAATAACAATAATGGAAATTTATAGCTTGTTGTCCATACCTAGTGTGTGCACATTTGAATGAAATATAAATAATTCTGTACACAAAGGTTTGGGGACAGCCTACATTCTTTTGATTTTTTTTTTTAAATAATGTTGGATTTTAGTGTTACTTTTGTAAGAATTATGTAAGAAAACAGAGTTTTAATGCTACATAAAATGTCGATTTCTTATTAGGTGTATTTTATAACACTCACCTTCAGATTAATAATAGCAACAGCAGCAATAATAATAATAATAATAATATCAAAATACATTATTTATGTAGCACCTTTCACACATTTAAAAGGCACAAAAGGCTCAAAGTGCTTCCCAAGAGGAAGGCAATGCATGTAAGAGCCAGCAAGGCAGCAAGGAGATGAACAGAAAGTAGAAAATAAAAGCATTGAAGGAGTGAAAAGAACTCCAAAACTAAAGCCATTCTAGCATTAATAATAAAAGTAACAAGCATCAAATAATAAAATAGAAGTAATAAAAAAAGAAGCTCAACACATTTATTATATATATATGCATCAAAGTGTCTTCCCTGGTTTGAACAGCGGGATAAACACTGTGAGACTTCTGATCTAGGATGAAATCGTAGTCCATTCAGTGATACTGACTGATATAAAAGGCGAAGCCTGATCTTCACTCAGCACTTTCTCTCTACTCTAAGGCTTTAAAGCTCTGTGTCATCTGTTGCCTCACTCTGTGTGCCCTTCAGGTCTTGAAGCAGCTGGTCAACGTCAACCTGCGAGTCTTCATGAACTGCCAGTCCAAGCTCTCTGACATGCCACTGAAAAGGTGAGCATCTGGCAACCCAGGACTCCACGGGAGCACACTCAGAGGCAGCTCACGCTTTATTTAGCCACTGCACATGTTGCAGCATCTCCACAGCGTAAAGAATCAAAGTCTAGCACAATGGAAGTTAGTGATGTATGTAGTGACGTATATACATATTTATCACACACACACACACACTAGTAGTGGTTGAATTAGACCCTTTACATTACATGTTAAGTGCTTAGAAATTACTACAATTACTACCATCCGTTCATTCGCCCTTATGCTCCAAGTTGTTGGAAGTAACACTCGAGTTTTTGTCTGTCCTTTTTTCTAGCTTCTACCGGTACGTGCTGGAGCCAGAAGTGTCCTTCATGACCGATAACAGTTTTGCTCCAGGCCCGATGGCCAAGTTCCTGGACATGCCGCAGTCTCCTCTCTTCACCTTGAACCTGAACACCCCTGAGAGCTGGATGGTAGAGTCTGTTCACACACGTTACGACCTGGACAACATCTACCTAGAGGAGGTATGGCATTCTTTGTGGTTTGATCATTGAGTTGTCTAAATATTGTCCAGTGCAGTTCATGATTACATTAAGCTGAGCCCAGACTCAGCTCATTAATACATGAATAATACTTAATTACCTGTAAAATAATGAGTAACATAACCTCTTTCGATTTCTCATCTCACCTGACTTTCTAAACTGTTTACAATGAATGCATTTCAGTGAAAGTATAGAAGAACTGCTAGAATTTTGGGGCTGAAGCACTTACTGTAAAGCCAAGAGTAATTGCTGTACTTATAGAACTGAACTGTTCACTAAAAGAATAAACAGATGGATGGGTTAAGTACATTGAGGCTTCACGCTGCTGTTCACACTCTGAGCTTTGTGCTCTTGGATGTCCTTCAGGTGGACAGTGTTGTGCCTGCTGAGTACGAGTTGGAGTATCTCCTGCTGGAGGGTCACTGCTTTGACGTGAGCACGGGTCAGCCGCCTCGCGGCCTGCAGTTCACTCTGGGCACCGCTTCTGAACCCGTTATAGTGGACACCATCGTCATGGCCAACCTGGTGAGGAGCATGTCCATATGGAGGGACCTTCTGATCTAATGAATGCATACACTTGAACTGCCACAGAGCTGTGGCATAATGATTTGGCTGTTGATTCTGATTGCTTTTTTTCTTTCTTCATCAGGGCTACTTCCAGCTGAAGGCCAACCCAGGAGCTTGGATTCTCCGCCTGAGGAAAGGACGATCGGATGACATCTACAAGATCTACAGGTAAATGTGTGGTTGCAGGTTGTGTGCAAAAGTCTGGTATTGCTGTTTTCAGTAATATAGAGACAATTTTGAACATGAGTCATTTGATGTCAGTATGACATGAAACTGAAAAATCAAGACATTTTAGTATATTGAGAAAGCAGTAGAGCATTTAGAATTAAATTATAATAATAATCAATATCCGGATTGCCCCATATTCCAAGCATTGTGATCAGAAATCATTGCTTGGCATATAACTTGGCAAGCAATTACTATAAATATCTATCTTCCGAGAAAACGACTGCCCACCTGTCCAGTCGGACACTGCTGGATGATTGTCTGTAGAGCTCTCCGGCTACCCGCTTCAGACCAGTTGCCCACACCCCAGTCACTGCCACCTGCCTTGGACTGGCTGCCCTCTCTACACTGAAGTGGACTCCTAACTACTACTACTACTACTGTTAATATTAGTAGTATATTAATTTTGTAGGTAGTTTGACCAGAGGAGGATGGGTCCCCCCTTGTGAGCCTTGGTTCCTCCCAAGGTTTCTTCCTCAGCTCTGAGGGAGTTTTTCCCTGCCACTGTCGCCCCTGGCTTGCTCACCTGGAGGATTTACGTTTCATGTTAAAACTTTGTCCTAAATGGATTTCTGTGAAGCTGCTTTGTGACGACATCAGTTGTAAAAAGCGCTATACAAATAAATTTGACTTGACTTTGACTTTGACTATAAATAGATAACTGCACTGTTATTTAACATTTATGTTATATATTAATTAACCCTTTAGAACTGGCATGACAAAATACCTTGCTATCTTTAAAGCATCACTGCTCCTCAGTAGTGTGAGTTAGATGTGTTTTTTCCCTTTGAAACTAAAGAAATATTGTTAAAATACAAGGCCAAGTTTGTCATTGTGGGTCATTTACTTAAACCTAAAGAATACATTTTTGGAAAGCATGCAAACCCTTGCCATGCAGTTGGCACGATGCTTGTATAATCGTTTTATATACAGGTCAGTCTCAATGCACCATCTTTATTTGTGATGTCATATGATGTATTGTCCACATTCTGCTTTAGAATGGCTCTGGTTAGAGAGCCACAGGCAAAGTAAGTAATCTGGAGCGCCGGGAAACGGGTGCACTGATTGGTGTTGGACAATTAGAGTTTCTGGTTCACAGGAAGTTGTAGTGGGTGTGCCTTTGGGCAACTTTGAGCAAGAGGAAGGAGAAAAGCAAGTAATGTAACCCAAAACCAAAACTATGACGAAGAGGATGTGTTGTACAGACAAGGCTCTAGAGCTGCTGTTCCAACACGGAATCATGCACAGTGTGAGAACTCTTCAGATTTTGGTATCGTGATGCAGAAGATACAGACTGTGTAAAAAATACAAAAACTGATCTCTGAAAAGAAACTCTGAAGAGAACTTTCATATAAAATCACAGGCCAGAAAAAAGGGTGCTTGAAAACAAAAAGAAGTAAAAATTTTTTTGGTTAAAACTGTTCTTTCAATACCATAGTTTTAAACTTATATTCAGAAAAGAACTTTAAAAATTAAGCTCTTTTTTGTTCTACTGTGGTTTTATGGGGTAATAATATTTATAACAAAGATAGTGTGTTGAAATATTGAATGAATGACGCATATTAGCTGAGGTGCTGAATCCAAGGATATATATATATATTGCTTTTTGGATCTATCCAAAAAAAAAAACCTAAATAAAAGTGTAAAACACAAAAGTGTAGAAAGGCAGAAGAGTCTTAAAGCTTTATAACTAGAATATTGAACACAGGTTCAGAAATACCTTTAGACATTCGGTTCATATTTCAGTCTAGATTATAAACCATTATTGAACCAAGTAACAAAATTATTAACATGATCAGTGATTCCAGACTTGTGTCTCCGATTTTTCTTTCTCTCGCAGTCACGACGGTACGGACTCTCCAGCAGACGCGGAGGACTTGATAGTCGTGCTGAATAACTTCAAGAGCAAGATTATTAAAGTGAAGGTCAGTGATGGATTGAAAATGTCACTCCGGTGTCCGAAGTTAGGTATTGTAGCTCACTGAGGCTGTGAGGCTTGAACACAGACTGGCACAGTGTTTCTTTTTTGGGGAATGTTTTGTTTACTGTTATCTCAAAACATTGAAAGATCAGTGACAATTTATTTGGAAGCTACCTTTATTGGGACCACATATCACATATATAAGCATTGAATAACATATTTATAAAGCAAGACTGTAGTATTTATGAGCAGTTTATGCCATTTTTATGCAAATTTTATGAAGTACAACGCTGAGGAACGTCGTTTTTAAGCTGTTGGATTATTTGCTGATGCATTGTTTGCAAAAAGGTGAGCATTTTACAATGGTCTTAGTCTTTAATTGGTCCTTTGCTATTTTTTTGGAACGTGTTGCTGGCATCAGTCACAGAATGAGCTTATATTTACAAAAAACAACGAAGTTGATAAGTTAAAACATTCTTTGTGCTGTTTTCATTCATATGCATGTCAAAGTCGATTTACAAATCACTGCTTTCTGTTCTCACACATTTTCACGACTTTTTTGGAATTGAAGTATATACTGATTAACCGCTGAAGCTGAATGGATTACGGAAACACTGAAAACTAAGAGCGTGAAAGTAGTAAATATGTTTATGTGTGTAGCTTTTTAAAAGCAAGGAGCTTCAATCACTCACTCACTCATGTTTTGCAGGCTAAAACCTCTCCACAGGGGGGCGCTGTTAGCAGTCATGTAGCCGCGCTTTACATTAGTAACATTGTGTGTTTATGTTAATTAAGGAGCTCAGGTGAATTTAGTTCAAATCTACAGTCACTGATCACGTATCACATTCAGAGCCTCATCCAACAAGTGCTTTATCTTTTTTTCTTTACTTTGTCAGTGTAAATGGAGGCAAAATCAACAGAATACTTGCATGTTTGTTTTGCTGTCTGCGTCTGCCAGTAAAAGGAGAGAATACATGTTTGCGCGTGTTCGGTTCCACAAAAGATCGCAAGTTGTTGAGTGAGCAGTACCTAACATCAGTTGTTTAAGTTGTGTAGTGTATCTAAGGCTTTAAACTGCTGTTGTTGTTGTGTTGATGCAGGTGCAGAAAAAGCCAGACATGATGAATGAGGAGCTGCTCAGTGATGGCACTGATGAGAACGACTCGGGATTCTGGCATTCTCTAACCAGGTACAGATTAACCAAGCCATTATTGCTGCAGCTGGCTTCTGTGGACGGGTGTGCTTACTTAGATATGCGAAAATCTTAAGTCAGTACTTGTTTACTTTAACAATTCAGATAAGGCAAGTGTAGTTTCTACAGTTCTGTAATTTAGAATATCATCATCTTCTTTTTTACTGACTTACAAAAAAATCATGCAGTCCAAACCATGAGTTGTACAGACACGGAACTTGGTTAAAAGGTAGCAGTCTCTACCACTACGCATGTGCATGAGCTCAGTCCAGTCAGCCAAATGGTGGTAGTAGCGATGCATTAAGCATTTTGGTCCATACCTTCAGAAGATTGTCTGATTGACATGAAATTGTGCATGCTGTTAATGTGTCCTCTCCTGGTTCAGTTTCAAGAGATTGAGGTCATATCTAGAGAAACATGGCTTATTAGAGTTCATTAGGGGTTTGGTTTACTGGCATGTACTCCTAGTGGGGGTCATAGCCATAGTAGCAATGTTAAGACCTGAGATCTGGCTGTCCTAGTTATGTGCACTTAGTAGGAATTTTCATTTGGAATCTGTCGCTGTTAATCCTCAATATGGAGTCCAAAGAGATGTCACTGCCAATGACACGAGTCATCATTAGGCTGAAAAATCCAAACAAACCAATAAGAGAGATTGTGAAAACATGTGTGGCCATGTCAACTGTTTGGTACATTCTTAAAAAGACCACACTGGTGAGCTCAAACCAGCACTAAAAGGTCCAAAAGACCAGTGAGAACTGCTGGGGGATGACAGAATAATTCTTTCCCTGGTGAAGAAAAACGTCTTCACAACATTTGGCAGATCAAAAACACCCTCTAGGAGGTAGGCATATCAGTGTCAACAGTCAAGAGGAGACTTCACCAGAGTAAACACAGAGGATTTACCCCAAGATGTAAACCATTGGTAAGCCTCAAAAACAGGAACACCATGACTGACCAAAAAAACATCTAATAGAAACAAAGCCTGTAAAGTTCTAGAACATCTGATAGACAGATGAGTCAACAATCAACTTGTGCCCGAACGATGGGAAGAGAAGAGTTCGGAGAAGGGAAGCAACTGCTCTTGATCCAAAGCATTCCACCTCCTCTGTGAAGCATGGTGGAGGTAGTTTTATAGTGTGGGTATGTACGGTTGCCATTGAAACTGGTTCTCTTGTGTTTATTGATGATTTGACTGCTGATGAAAGCAGCTGGATGAATCCTGAAGTGTAGAGAGTAAAATTATCTGCTTTAATTCAGCCAGATGTCTCATTGGATAGCATTTAACAGTGCAAATGGACAGTGAATGCTCTGTAATGACTAAGACAATGCATTCAAGCATGCGTCTCACTTCTGCAATAAAGGCCTGGCACAGCATCACCAGTGAAGAAACCCAGCATCTGGTGACGCCCCACATCTCAGGCCAATCCTATTATGCACTATTTACAGCCTTTGAGAGTCGCTGTGAAGGCATTCACCATTCTCTCTCTCCCTCTCTCCTTCTGTCTTTTTCAGGGGATTCACTGGAGGTTCCAAAGTGGAGGAGACCAAGCAGGAGAAAGATGACGTCATCAACATTTTCTCAGTGGCCTCTGGTCACCTGTACGAGAGGTTCCTGAGGTACAGATCATCACCACCTGCGTTGTGTTGACCCACTGATTTTACTGTGTCGATCGCTCTTGAAGTTTATAATTTAGGAAGACAAGTGTCTTCCTGCGTGTGGCATTTGGAAATGGCACCGTCTGAACGTTTTTGATATTAAAGAAAATGACGGTAGCTTTGCATGACCAACCGACTTTGGCTTTGGCTGACATTTTACTTTTGTGTATATTGCATCTCTCTCTGTTTTTTAATGTAGAATTTTTTTCCAAAGGATGAACCCTTTTTCTATCAGTGATCTTTAGACATGCCATATCTTATTAGCGCTGGCATTATTCCTCTACCAGTAGATCTCAGTTTTTAAGGTCATTCGCATATTTCTTCCATGGCCTGTGACTGCAGGCAGTATTAGCTGGGTTGAACAGACGAACCCAATATCCTGATCTGGGATCATGTTCTGGGTTTCATGTTTGATCTATTACAGGTAGAAGAACTAGAAGAAAGTGATCTCAGATCAGTTACTCTGAGAAACACGCTGTCGATGCTAGAAGGTTGAGCTGCTTCTTTTCTTTGCAGGATAATGATGCTGTCTGTACTGAAACATACCAAAACGCCGGTCAAGTTCTGGTTTCTGAAGAACTTCCTGTCTCCAACCTTTAAGGTGTGTATATGGGAGTGGATGTGAGGCCCTTTCTCACTCATCAGTTTACCTCTTTTTGTTTTCAGTTACATGTTTTCCCTTTTTGCTTATCTGTTTATATTTTTGGTTTTGTATTTTAGCTTGGCTTATTCTGTGTACCAGGGTGTTTTATTGTTTTTGCTCTTCACCTTCATGTCAACATTTCATTGTAAATATTTATCAGTTTATGAATTATGCCAAATGAATATTCTAATTTCACATGTTCTCATGTAAAAAGTCAAAATTTAACCGAGTTGATTCAAAGTAAGAGACTAAGAGTCAAAGACTTTTAACTGGCTTGGACTTCAGACTAAAATATGTTTGCTTTGAGTGACCCTATACCTTTTATTTGTGTTTATTTTGTCAAAACAAATGATTAAATATTCCTTTTTTTCACTACCAAAACAATCATAACACTGCCAAAACTTTACTAAGTGTTTGGGCAGTGACTGTTTCAGTGCTGACAATTTTAGCTAATTTTGAACAGAACTTAAAAACCTCGCCAGTACATAGCTGACAAATGCAGCTTTGAACAGTTGTACACACATGAAATCATGATATTTTTCCTTAAAATACAAAGTTTACTTAATCACAGACAATTTGTTTCGGTAGTGACAATTCTGAATGTTCCACACTGATTTTCACCATTTGGGACACCTTTACTTCAATACAATAAGATCTGACTGCTCACCTTGTGGCTATGAGGGACAGGGATGCAGCCTCACTTCCTGCTCTAAAATGTGGACTACAACTCTGCGTTTCGGTAGTGACATGAAAATGTGGGGAATAAAGGTTTTTTTTTATTTTAAAAATGAAATTCTCGATAAATCTAAATCAGCTTCACTCTAAAAAAATGTTGTTTTTTTTTTCAAATTTATTTAGTTTTTTTAAAGAAGTGAATTTGCTAACCTGCAGTTCTCAGTAAAACATTTTGTGAACTTGTTTTAAAAGGATTTTTATTCCAGGCTTTCCACTTTTTTCAAAGAGGGCCAGATTGTATCATGTCAAAATACCTGAGGGCCAAAATTTTATTCACAAATGGTTTAACATATTATTTTTTTTAAATATGGAAACCACAACGATGTAGAACAGTTAACAGAAATGAACTTGCTGGTGATCCATTGTGAGAAATTAGCAATGACCTCTTAAACGCACATAAATCTTCCACCGGAGGGGTTACGGTGCATGCATGGTTTGTGTGAAATGCATCAGCACGTACAATCTAAGCTTTCTGTGAGCTACCGTGTTTCCTCTTACTGTATAAAAGATGCACAAGGCTTCTTTTATTGTTAGATGGCTTATTTGGTGCAGTCTGGATCGATAAGCATGTATAACAAATTATGAAATTGTTTGAGTAGCAATAAAACATGACTAATGTATTTAGTATATTCTGATTAAGTGTTTACTTTTTCAAAAATTTGAGACAAACTTAACAAAAATCTGTACATCTTCAGGTTCGATTATGTTCTTCATATATGAAATAAAAGCAGCAACCACATTCAGAAATCACGTGTTAAATCAGAAGAGCAGATCAAACAGCATAAACAGCCACATTGTTGTTCGGCCTTAAAGGGTTTAATATTTACCGAACTCTGAATTTGCTCTGATAAGAAGTTGGTGCTGTGAGACTCTGGTAGCTGCAGTTGCTTTAGTTTCTCCCCTGAATATTTATTAAAACGTCTATGCTTTGTTTAATGTCTATTGATATTAAATTCATTACAGTCTTTTGACACACGAGGCTCACGCATTTGCTGTGGCTCTTGATGAAAAAGTATTTAAATTTCCATCTCACCAAAATCTCAAAGCTAACCTGCCCTCAGTGTTAAGTAATTGACAGTACTACAGCCCCCATCAGGTGAATGGAAAGAACTGTAATGTATTGACCAGCCACTTACAACACACTCTAACAGAAGCCTCTGGCCAATTAAAATCTGCCCGCGGGCCACATTTGTTCTTTTGTAAAATATTCATTTATTTATGATCATTATCTCCCTATACGTGGAGAAGGAGACGTCAACCATTATTATTCAGTTGTGATATTTAAATTTTCAAAAGTTTTGCTGAATGGGGGATGGATGGTGGATGGAAAATTAGGAGGAGCTTTATGCATTACAGATGAAGAAGGCTTATTTGAATTTCAAATGATTGAGAAGTGATCATCTGTAATCTTCTAGGTACTTGAATGTCCTCTGTCTCTCTCTCTGGCAGGAATGGATCCCGTACATGGCTAAGGAATATGGTTTCCAGTATGAGTTGGTTCAGTACAAGTGGCCTCGCTGGCTGCATCAGCAGACGGAGAAGCAGAGGATTATCTGGGGCTACAAAATCCTCTTCTTGGACGTGCTCTTCCCGCTGGCCGTCGACAAGATCATCTTTGTGGACGCTGATCAGGTACATTGCTACCACTTCCATCAAAGCACAAACAACAGTGCTTCAATCTCAGTCTGGCTCTATCTGTCTTCAAAGGAATACTTCATTCGTTTCATTGTGGCATCGAGACATTTGTATCTGAGGTTGGGCCTGGAAATGATTTGTTTCTACAAGTATATACAATAGAACATACAGAGGAGACTGGGGGAGCTTTTACACCTCTGATTTTAACAGAAGCCTGCAGAGAGTTCAGAGATGCAGGTGGAGGATGCAGTTCAAATGAACTGCCTATACCCTGCTGCCCCCTTCAGGTAGAACTGTGTAATACCTTGAGAGACTGTATATACAGTGTCATGAAAAATCTTTGATTGATGTTTCAGATCATCCAACTAATTTTAATATACGACCACACTAGTAAACACAAAATGCAGCTTTGAAATGATCATTCCATGTATGGAAGACAAAGATTTATTCAAAACCTATATCACCCATGTGAAAAAGTAATTGCCCCCGTAAACCTAGTAGCTGGTTGTGCCATCCTTGGCAGTATCAGCTGAAATCAAACATTTGCATTTTTGCTTTTACATCACTGTGGAGTAATTTTAGACCACTCTTCTTTGCAAACTTGTTTTCATCCGGCTACATTGGAGGGTTATCGCGCATGAATTGCCCATTTAAGGTCTCGCCACAGCATCTCAGTGGGGTTCAAGTCAGGACTTTGACTCGGCCACTCCAAAACCTTAATTTTGTTATTTTGAGCCATTCAGAGGTGGACTTGTGACCTCCTGAATGAGCCATTGATGCGCTCTTGGTGAAGTTTTGGTAGGTCCACCACTCCTGGGAAAGTTCACCACTGTTCCATATTTTCTCCATTTGTGGATAATAGTTCTCACTGTGGTTTACTGGAGTCCCAGAGCCCTTTATAGACTGGTAGATTTCAAGATGACTTTATTTTGCATCTGTATTTTGCATATAATTGTATATAAATATATTTGTATACATGACCTGGGGAGTGAACAACAAAAAGTTATTAAATGATGAATTATTTACTGTAATTATCTATCTACAGTAATTCTGTGGTAAGTTATCTGCCTCGAACTTCATCACCACTTTTCAAATGTGACGCATTCTGGACACTACTTTTATTATAACTTCATCAAATCGTCTGCAGTTCTGTTCATCATTCTGGACACATCTAACATTTCTTCATTTTGTACAGCTTCCTGCTTAATACTTGATACTTATGAAAGTTCTCAAGTTGTAGCATTATAATACATTTTTATGCATCTTCAACAAAATTAGTTTCCTGTTATTAAAAACAGTAATTCTGAGCTTTTGGTTGGACGTGTAGCTACAGCCATAAAGACACAACCTGATCCACTCGAGGCACTGTGCGTTTGTTATTTGTTATTTGTTAAGTCTCATTTGAATATATGGTTCCTTCTCTCTCCAGATAGTGCGCACGGACCTGAAGGAGCTGAGGGACTTTGACCTGGAGGGGGCGCCATACGGCTACACTCCGTTCTGCGAGAGCCGGAGAGAGATGGACGGATACCGCTTCTGGAAGTCGGGCTACTGGGCGAGTCACCTGGCCGGCCGCAAATACCACATCAGGTGAGGCTCGGGAGTCGGAGTTTCAGAGGTCTGACTCCGACACAATGGGTCCTGCTCATGTGTTACATTGCATTGTAGGAGCTGGCCTTTTGAGATTGACCTTCTAGACTCTGGTTAGTTCCTGACCTCTGTTCTCTTGCCATTGTTTGAGTGTGTGTGAAGAAGACAGGTACTTGAGAGAGATGAGAAGACAAATGGGCGTCTGCTCTGACATTTAGCTCTCAGAAGCAAAGCTGAACAGGGGTCTGTCTCACGAATCAGGGTTTGTGTTTAGCCAGCTAACTTCAGCCTTACCTGGGTATCTCATGATGGTGAATCATTTTTTGCTGGGTTACATCATGATGACAACTAATACTACACGCCTGTCATTTACAGAGCAGCTTAAGTGTTGAATTACAGGGTTTTTTTCTTTGATTTGGGTTATCATAAAAAGAACATGGGTTAACAGAGAAAGATGTTACCCACTGTCATAAAAAGAGTTTGCGTTTGTTAGGTTTTGTGTAGCTGAAGCTTATTCAGGATCCTTGTTTAAGTTGAATGTGGTCCATAAGACAGGCCTAAGAATCTGTGCTGCATTCCTGACCCGTTCTGAGGCTGGTTAGGTTTGGGATTTTGGATCATCAACAGCTCTTTGGACCAATCAGTGGAAACCTTCTGACGAAGATGGAACCCTTTTTCTTTGCTTTTATAATATTTGTGGCAACAGTCACCTGAGAATGATCACTTTTAAGTGTAGCAAACAAATTATTTTTACATAGTGCTTATCAGAGAAATAATTTATATTCCTGATATCTAACACAGTTTATTTTCATTACGATTGTAAATGCTTTACTTTCTACGTATTTAAATAGTATGACTTCTCATTGCTGCTTTATCGTTGTAAAAGTCATGTTTTCTTGTGCACACACACGAGTATTAAACCAAGCTTGGATTAAACCTGGATTAACAGAGAAAATTGTTGTCCGTTGTTCTAAACTGAGTTAACTACAATTGTGTTGGTTGTGTTTTGTGAAACTGAAACTTAAGCCAAGTTAAACTACAAATCGCTGTAAACTCAGACTGTGTTCCCTTAAAATTATTATATATTCATTTTAGAATATTTCTTTAGTATACAGTAGTTAACAATTAACATTTGATTTATCAACATTTAAAGCTGCTTTTAGAATAAAAATAGAGCAAGATCATCCTCACTGTGCCCTGGAAAATCATCGCTGTGCCCTGGAAAATCATCGCTGTGCCCTGGGCTTGAAAGAGTAAAATACCTGGGCACTGTACCGGCCTGTACTACCATATTCTAGAGATCCTAGTGAAACTGTAAAACTCCAATGAAGTTACTTACTTAAAGGCTTTAATTGTCCATGTTTAAGGCAGAGCTAAAAACATGAACAGACATAATTGTTAGCTTGATGCCAATATTGCATAGGAATTCCCTTTGACAGGCCAATGGATAATAGCATTATACTCGCACTAGGAATTTGATGGAAAAATGCTACTTTCAAAGTGAATTTAAAACTGGATTAAACTTCACTATATTTAGGGTGGGCATGGCTGGCACATTGATTTTATGACTGTTTTACAGACATGAAGTGTTTATAGTACCAAAACAATTTAAACATCACCCTGTACACTATTTTCATTGCCCCCAGGATGATGGGCCTGCATTAGTCTGGTGTCCTGTTTATGCCTGCTGTAGCTCTTCATTGTTGCAACCCTCAGAAAGCAGGTTGCAGTTGACACATTTTAGAACACAACAACACATGAAATTAGGTTTATGTAACTCCAGGCATTTATTGTGCATGAGGTACATTTCTGACTCCTCATTCTGATTTGCTCAGTTTTTCTACTCTGATTATAAGTGGACTGTTTAAGCTGCTGATCTTGGCTGGGGTTATAAACAGCCTCTTGACAGAACTTCCACACTAAAAAAATTCTAGGTTCAAAGTTATCCTAATTGTGCTTTAGAGGGTCCATATCCTGCATTTTCTCCTGAGATCCTCTTATAACGTTTTTGAGGTTTATGCTCCAAAAATGAGTCATAATTGATTTTTACATGACCATTTACCAACTTTTCTTTATCCTTTAGAATTAAGCAGGCTGTTTTTGTGCCCTTAAGACTGACAAATGTGTATTACCTCTGCTCTGATTGGCTGCTCTGCATTGTGCCTCATTTAAAAAGCAGTCCAGGCTGAAACCCTCCTTATAACTTCAGTGTAAATGGCCGGGGCTAAAGTGCTGCAGGCTGAATAAGTATATGTATGTAAATGCACTGCTTTTCATCATACATAAAATAGTTAGTTTTGTGGTCAGAAACAATTTTCCCTCATATGGTCCCTTTATACTTCAGGTGTTAAATGACGCCTCTTTAATCCTGTGCTGCAGTTCCTCACACATCTTGCTCTGTCTCTGTCTCCAGTGCTCTGTACGTGGTGGATCTGAAGAAGTTCAGGAAGATCGCTGCAGGAGACAGACTGAGGGGACAGTACCAGGGTCTGAGCCAGGACCCCAACAGCTTGTCCAACCTGGATCAGGTGCGTGACCCGATGAATGCGACTTGTAGATGGAGCTCGATTGACGTCACGGCACTCGTTTAAAATGTCCTAATAGATAAAATATAGCCATGGTGAGCTGCGCGGTTCATGGTTGTAGTAACAATAGCAACAAAAAATGGCATCCTGGCTGTCCAACACTGGGGGCATAAACAGGCTGCAGAGCCGAGCCAGCAAAGGAGAAATCTTTGGGTAGCGAAAATAAACAGGAAAAACTGTGTATGTTTTCATCAGTCTGTCATAGATAGACAGTTAGGTAAAGGATGAGTTCTGTAGTTTTCCCATTGATCATTTTCAAGTGTTGACACTGATGATTGACTTTTGGAATCAGACTATTTATATCTAGAGCTCTTCCGCTTAGTTAGACAATGAATGCAGTCGGGAGAACGGTAAAACGTTACATATAGATTCCTAGGCAATGTCAGCCATTACTCACTTTTCTGTTCACAGTGAAGTTTGATGGTGTTGTTGATGATAGACAGAATATCGCTGACCTAATAATTACACAATTCTAACAATTTGTATGCTTTAAGCTCCTGTAGGCTTATACTGTATTTACAAAGTAGTTATAGATGTCTATAAATAGGATTCAAAGATAACTTATTGATCTGTTACGCATCAACACTTTCGATCAAACTGACTTTCTCTTGATATCTTGATTAGGAAGCCATAGCTGGCACTGACTGCTCATACACATCATTCTGATGGAATATTAACAATATTGCTGTAGGACGCTTTTTTCTGAGTTTTGCAAATACAATCCCCAGTGGCTCACGTGTTCTATGAGCTTCTGTTAATTGCTAGCCATGTTAGCATACTTTTGTAAGGAAGCGTTCCAGTGCAAGATCACGAAGCTAGACTGAAAGTCAAAACTCTATACATGGACAAAAATGGGTTAAATGTTTATGGATTACATTTTTACTATGAATTGTGCTGGTGTGTCGTTGTTGAAATTAGGTGTTTTCTCCATCTCTACCTTTTAGGATCTCCCAAACAACATGATCCATCAGGTGCCCATCAAGTCCCTGCCGCAGGAGTGGCTGTGGTGCGAGACCTGGTGTGATGACACCTCTAAAAAGAGTGCCAAGACTATTGACCTGGTAATGACTGCAAATTTACAAGCATTTTTCAGAATTCTACACGTCCTGTCATGCACAGTCTGAATCAGCCAAAACTGGATTCGGCGTTCTGGATTGATTTTATTGTGACTGATCTGGGTTGGTATTTTTTGTGTTAAATAAGGTGAGGCAGGTAAATGCAGTCACACTGGATTTAACCACAGTGTTGTAGAATAATTCTACAATTCATTGTGCTAAATAACCAGTTTAGCACATTATTTGATTCATGATTTTTAAATGGCCAACTGTTATTATTATTATTATTATTTTAAAATCCAGTTTGGACCATTAAAGACTCAATTATGCTGTTTATATTGTGACAGTGATTAATAGTTGGGACGCATCTGTACCGATACTGATATCGGGTATCCGGCTGATACACTGCTCATTTACTTGTACTCATAAATGAGCTCTGATACCAACATCTCATACTGATACCATGTGACATAAGCCTAGTGTATGCTGCCACGCTAATGAACAGACCCGAGCCGACAGTGAATGAGGGTCTGCTCCCACAGCGAAGTGCTGCTGATGCCATGGCAGTCATACGCAAAGTTGTTTAAAGTCGTCACTTTAAACATTCGGCCTATTCCCGTCAGGCGTACAGTGTGATTTTAGCCTGTTTTTAAATACACACAAATGCAATCAGAACCACTTCCCCAGTATGGCCGAACACATGTAGGCTAACAGTGCAGAGGCAAAAAAGTCAACATTTACGGAACCAGAGTCCGTAGATGCCGACTTTGCTCTGTTTGCCTGAATAGAATTGAGAGGCATAAACATTAATACGCTGATTTTTTTTAATTGTCTTGTAAAACAGGCTGTAGAGAGACCGTATTGTCCTACCCATGTCCAACACCGCCTGGTTTTAGTTTCAGTTTGTTTCAGTAACTTCTACGTTTTAATGTTCCACGTTGCACACTTGAGGTAGGACCGTATGTATCAGTTTGATTTCAGCCATAGAGAACGCGAGTAAATGCTTTTTTGAGTGCCTCCACATTTAAGAAACTCCTTTTTTACTGATATGCTGATTCGCAGATTAATATAACCTTGATTTATTTCTATGGCTCGTTTAATGGAAGGTAAAAGGTGCTAGAATCTTTACTGACAGTCTGTAAAAATGACTGACATTTCACGTTCGAAAGGCACTAAGATCACTGAGAAACAGTAATTAAAATTACATTACCCTACCTCTTCATGTTAAAACGGTTGAAACATGACTTTTACAAGAGTTCTATGTAAGACTATTGTGTTTATATATCTGTTTACATGCACTTCTGAATGAAGTTTATCCTCTGATTTCTGGCTATTTTAAAATAGATTCTTTTTTCCTTTTTCTGTTTAAATATCTGTTGGTATCTATTTCTGACCAATCATAATCATTTTAATATCCGTTTCCCTTTTGTGACTCATGTTTGTTTAGATGTCATAAAGCTGTAAGCTGTAGTGCAAGTAGTACTGCAGAAAAAGCCACAAAGTGTTAGAAAAACTATGCTGTTTACATTCTAATATCTTAGACCAGCAGTCTCAGTCAAAACAGTATCAACCCATGGCCTGTAATTGCTGCACTTTCTGGCTGAAATTCACCAAAACTCATTTGGCATGTGCCAGGTGGAAACCACGTGGCCAGCTCAGAGCAGTTCTCCAACACAGGTGACTCAGTAATAGTTTTCAGATGACCAGTTGTATGCAGAGGTTGTTTTCGTTGACCTGGGTTGCCCCTTTTGCCTCTTGTGTTCCAGTGCAATAACCCCCAAACGAAAGAACCCAAGCTGCAGGCTGCTGTGCGGATCGTGGCGGAATGGACCGACTATGACCAGGAGGTCAAGAGGATCTACAATAAGTTCCTGGAGGAGAGAGAGAAGGGAAGCAACAAGACAAACAAAGGGAAAACACAGAAAGGTGTGACCATCAGTGGGCTACTGTCATTTGCCTAAAGCAAAAAGCAGATGTTTATTTGGGGGGTGTAAAAAAAAAATGTACACACTTTTTTCCCTTTCCCTCAAATATAGTCGATCAGCCCAAGACACTGATTCGCACTGGAACTATGAGGCTAATGTAGTTAATGAGTAGCATCATGCAAACTGCATCACCACGTCACCACACCTCAGTGGAGCTGTTAAAGGGGATTTCCACCAATTTTTCAAAATTTCTGTATAATTAAATGGTTGGGATGTAAACAGTCATTTAGAGTGAAATGCTCTGTTCTGTTGAGTCAGAATTGTTCATAATGATGGTGATACGAACCAGACCTCTGACAGCTTCTAAAACAGGCATGTCAAACTGAGCACCTTCCCGGCCGAAGTGCTGCAGAGAAGGCCTTGCTAATTAGCTGATGAGCTGAATCAGATGCGTTTAATGAGGCCACTTGCTGAAGTCTGCAGTATTTTGACCTGCAAGGACTGGAGCCAGACACATGCTCTAACAGCTGACTCACAAAGTTATTACATGAAATGGTTCCAAATATGTCGCCTGATGCCCGAGACCTTGTTTTATGATATGGTTTATGGTGGGTTTGGTCTAAAATGTTTTAATTTTTTTAAAAACCATTCATTCATCCATCCATTGTAAGGCAGAGGTACTGCTATTTTACCCTCATCAGCATCGCATATAAAAACTCACCACAGTGTTTATGTGGCGATTTTGTTCATTTGTTCAGTCCTGTTCGTCTGTTTAAGTTTATTTAGTTAGTTTTTTGATGTTGCTTTTGTTTAGGTTTAATTTATTATTAATTTTTATTAAATATAATTTTAAGTTGACGTTTTAATTGTTCAAGTAAATGAAGTTACCTTCTTTAAACAGTAGAATTTTAAAGGACTCTTATTGTGAAATCAGTCGTGCTCCTGCTTAAGCAAAGTGGACTTATCCACTAACACTATCAGCCAAATGAAGATTTACATGCTGATTTAGCTGGCAATGCTAAGATTGAATTTTACAAGCATAAGTGGCCTCATTAACACTCAGTAGCCTTAACAGGAAGTCAAAGTCTTAGCCCATTGTGCTGAGCCAAACCAGAGATGTCGACCAGTGACAGAACACAGTTTAAGTCAAACTTTGGCCGTTTTTAATTGGTACCTACATAATCCTTGTAGTATAGTTGGGCAAAATGATGGGCAAAATGATGATCATTATAGTAATAATTTACATCAAAATATGTCACAGTTTGGTTTTCTGAGCATATCGTGGATGTTGTCAGTACTTAAAAACATTTACCGACTGGATGTTTGATTAAATAGAGCATAATTAGTCTTGTTTAATTGGATTTAGTGCAGCACAGTGTGTGAAATGTTGAATACAAGTAATCGGCTCTCTAGTTTTGGCACTACTTTGTCTGTTCTAACTTATCACGTCAGAAAAAAATAGGCCACATTAATAAAATAAAATATCACTTTAAAATAAGACTACCTTTATAGAGTGTTGAACAATGGTTTAAAATGAGCTGGTTAATGGTTATTAGTTAGGTCATAAACACTTTAAAAGTTATTAATAAACAGTTATAACACATTAATAAAAAGGGCAAAAGTGAGCTGTTATATCTGATGAACATGAATGTGATAAAGCTGACTGATGAAGACGACAAAGTAAGTTCAGTAAACATCAAAACCTGAGGTTTAACAGTATAAATGAGTGAGTGTTCACTATTAGGCAAATAGCAGTTCACTGTTGCCCTTTTATTTATGTGCTGTAACTGCATATTATTGATTTAATTTATTAATTAATAACCATTAATAAACTCATGTTAAATCATTCATAAACGATTTATAAGGGATAGTTTTATTTGAAAGTGGTACCAAAATAAATATTGTGACGCATCGTGTACGTAGAAAACTTCCTGATGTTAATCATGATATTAATCGTGCCATACCATTCAGCTCGACAGTGTAGCTCTAAAACTAAAGAAGCAGACTTTCTACACTAAACATGTCTTAGCTGATCGTCCACCTTTGGGTGAGGGGAAAATTGATTACACTGGTTTTTTGCCTATGAAAAAAATTGACATTGTCTGTCTGTCTGTCTGTCTCTGTCTCTCTCTCTCTCTCTCTCTCTCTCTCTCTCTCTCTCTCTCTCTCTCTCTCTCTCTTTCTCATTGGCAACTTAGTGGTTAGAGCCCTGTTCGATTGATCATAGGGTTGTGGGTGTAATACCCTGGTCTGCTAAGTCGCCACTATTGGGCCCTTTAGCAAAGCACCAAACCCTGTCTGCTCCAGCGGTGCCGTATCACAGCTGACCCTGTGCTCTGACCCCGGCTTTCTAAGTTGGGACATGCGAAGAGAAGAATTTTGTTGTACTGTGCAAGTATAATGACAGTGAAGGTACTTAACTCACTCTCCCTCTCTCTCTCTCTCTCTCTCTCTCTCTCTCTCTCTCTCTCTCTCTCTCTCAGATGGCGAGAAGCACACAGAGCTGTAGGCGGACGCCCTTCAGCAGAGGAACGGCTGACTCTGTTTAAAGAGTCGTCTTTTTTTTTTTTTCTTTTTTAAACCAAGCCTATTCTCCTGGAGCGGGGTCCACGTTGGCGCTGTGAAACTTGAATGGAAATAATGCAACCTCTATTGCTTGTATTTGACTGGTTGGGTGGTTGGGGCGTAGGGCAGGACGACGAGGGTTCTGGGGCAGAGAGGGGTATGTTTCCGTCCCATTGTAAACTGAAGCACTTGGCTGAATGCCCCCTGCAGGACTGCTGTGGAATTATGCGAGATAGTACATTTGCAAGTGCTGCAGGTTAGAAGGTGCTGGTCTGGTAAATGTACAGTAGACACGTTAATCATGCTAATCATGGCATAGTCACTGCTGGGCTGTTCATGTCTGAAACTGGATATGCCTTTCCTCTTTCCGAGTCCCTCCAAACCGTGTCCAAGTGTGCGTATGCGTGTGTGAGAGGAGAGAAAAGGCCAGTGAAAATGAGCGGATGTGTTTGTGTGAATGTGCATCCTCTGCTCATCCAATACAGCAGTGCTGCTTATCCTCAATGATTGCATTCTAAAGGCAGAGCTATGATTATTGCTTTAATGCTGTTTTGTTACAGGAATGGTTTGGCGAAAAAATCAGATGCACACAATTTTCCACTTACCGCAAATGCAGTTGATCAGGTAGGAAATGTTTGGTGCCCAAATTTTTTTTTTTTTTTTGGTTTAGAGATGGAGATGCAAGGCTGACAAACACTAGAAGTCAACAGTCACTCAAATCTTTCATCCCGAAAACGTCTCTAAAATGCATTCAAACTCCATCCAGGTCTTCATTAAAGTAGTGCAAACTGGTCAGTGTGGTTTATGAAGCAGTGATTTATAGCGACCCTCAAAAAGGATCTAAACCGTGTAGCCGAACTCAACCAGTTTAGACAATGGTGTTGTGCTGAATTCCATACAGGTATATATGGGCTCTAGATTACATTTTAGATTAAGCTCTAGATTGTACGTTTTCTTTTGTTTCTGTTTTTAAACATACAGCTGTGTGCAAAAGTTTTGGCACCCTCCGGTCAAATAATGTTTTGTTGATTTTCTTAATTAAAAAATGAACACATCCTCTACAGAGAGCACACTTCTGCACATTTTAATGCACAGTTTATGCACAAAATATAAAATGTGGCCTGTGAAAAAGTTATGGCACATTTTATATTATACGTTTTGTTTTTTTTTCCTCAGTATGTTAAACTCAACGGAAATTCAGCATTAAACGTTGCATATTTTGCGTATTTTTTCCTTAAAAATGTCATTTGACCAAGGGTTAGCAGAGATGAAGAGCTTGTTGGATTTCTAAAATCTTGGCTGCATACAGTGGTCAGCTTCATAGTTCATTTTTTTTTATAGTTCACAGTATGTCATACTGTGTCCGAAACCACATCGAGAAGCTCGTGCAACCTTAATAAAGGCCTGTATGAAGCTTGAGAGAAATTTCAGGAATGTATTTACAAAAAAATGTTTGGGTGACTATTGACTTCTAGTGTTTGTTAGCAGTATTAGCCTTGCAGCTCCAATTTAAAACTAAAAAAGTTTGGCTGTTCGACTTCTGAAGTGAGCATAACATTGTGTACATTTGATTTTTTGCCAAACCCTTTCTTTAAAAGTGAGACTGTCGCATGCTGTCGTTGAGAACGTCGCAACGAAATCACATTGAATCTTGGTCCTGCTTGAGTGGTGATCGCCTGTGTGTTTTTTGTTTCTTATCTCCAACATGAGCGTGTAATTTATTGGATTTCTGTGCTCATAGAAAAGCTGTTGGGCTGCTTTCATAGGCTGATTTGTTCATGGAGTTTTCTGTACCCAAAGATGAACTTTCTCTACTTTTGGTCCCTTATTTTACCAAAAAGAGTCTCTGCCATTAGGAACCTCGTATTGAATTTAAATGAAAGTGAATAAAAGATGTACCGCAGTTTATTTCCTCACGCTATTTTTGGTTGTATTGGTTGTCTTATCGAGCTTAGTGCGGCATTGTTGTGGCCCTACGTTTGAGAATAGTTTCAGTTGTGACCGCGTGGCTCTGACCACTAGAACACTTGAGCGCTAAACAAGCCGCTGGTTCCCAACAGGAAGCACAAACGTGGCGGAACCGAACTTTTCCAGCGGTTGCGTTTCGTGCCTTTCGCTCGGCCACGTCTCCGAGGCACGCCTGAGGCCGCCTCGTCTTCTCTGCATCTACTGTACTGTTTTACGCCCAATCAGGGAAGGGCGAGGACAGATTCAGTCACTTTGGTAATTTTGTTTTGGGGTTAATGTGATTAATTGTGGGGTAATGGCTATTTTTTAATAAAAATAAAGTACCAAATCCATCTCTTGTTGTGATTTCTGGTGATTTGTTTATGTTCACAGGTTTTCTGGTACATTTGCTGAAAAATAGGAGGTGTGTCCACAAGATGGCAGCATAGCTGAACAAATAGTCAAGCCTGAAAGTTGTCAGGTAACAGAAAACGAGCTCAGCACCACTTTTAGTGCAGTAATCTTTCAAAAGAATAAGAGTGGCACTAGTTACTGCAGCGTTTTGGATTTTCAATACTAGCACTTTACGTTTTCATATTGGACCTGTGAGATCTAGTTGAACTATTGCAGGCATGGCAGTATTGAATCAGGCTGTTTGACCCTTTCAGACCTACATAAAGGCTTTTGTTTTGCATGATAATGTCACAATTATAAAGTATTACAACTAAATCCTCAAATTTAGCACTTCAGTTAATGAGGTGTTGCTCAGTTCAGTGGCATCTGATGTGTATTCAGATGTAAACAGAGTCATTCAGAGTGGTTTGATATGAAATGCTCCATTCTAAAGAAACATATCGACTCGCAGTTGTTCACAGTGGTGGTGATAGGAACCACATATCTGAAGAGTTTAATGCCTCTGAAAGTTCCCTCACAGAAAGTTATTACACATAACGGTTATGAATACATTTCCTGATACCTGCTTTGTTTTTTCTGATGGCTTTGAAAAGCTTTTTGCCTAAAACCAGATTAAGATTTATTCAGAATATTAAAATGAAATGAAGAGAGGAAATTTACTTGTATTTCTTTGTAAATGATTATATTAGTCAATGATTATACTTGATATACACTGAACGGCCTCTTCAAAGTACACCTCCTTGTATCTACACTCATTGTCCATTTTATCAGCTCCACTTACCGTATAGGAGCACGTTAAAGTTCTGAAGTTACAGACTGTAGTCCATCTGTTTCTCTGCATACGTAGCCCCCTTATATTAACATACTTGGCCCCCTTTCAGCCTGTTCTTCAATGGTCAGGACCCCCAGAGGACCAGTATTATTAGCATATTGAGACTGAGACGAGACCGAGACCGGACTTGAATACTACAATGCTTTAGCCAAAGGTCAGCAGCCCAAGTATTAACGAGCCATTTTGTGCTTTCAGCAAAAATCTGACCACCTTGGGCGCCACAATATTTTATGTCCATTTTACCATCTTGGCTGTAGATATGTTTCAGTATGTGCTAATTTACTAGTATAGGATAAAAAAAAATATAAAGAAAAAACACAGACTTTGCTCTGCTTTAAGCTTTAGCTCAGCTATAGCTGCTTTTCTCACATCTCAAGCAGGAAACCTTTCCGCAAAAGTAAAATAGTTTCTTTGAAAATGTCTCCCAACGTCCGATTTTTTACGAGGCTCAAGTCGCTTCTCATTCGCCAACTTTTTGTTCAAATTTTCACGTTCCACCTTAAATGGTGCCTGAGGCACCAGAATGTAACTGCTGTACCGTTTAAGGTGGAATGGAAAAATTTTAATGAGAAGCTTTGTGACTTAAAGGGTGAGCAGTTCTACATTAGCTCCAGCGTTTAAGACCATTTATTGTTAAACTGTGTTGAACGATCAGCAGAGCTTTATTTTACTGCAAAGGAAGATTATTTTATTTTTATTTTAACAATCTAATTCTGCTGTGGAGCCACAACAGGGCAGTAAAAGAGCCGCATATTGCCGAGCCCTGGACTAGTGCAAGGTGCAAACTTCAAACACCCAGCATGTCTGGACTGATTAACTACATTTGAAGCAAGGTGGGCTTTTGAATTGAAATATTGAAATGCTGATTTAACTCGTTTTTGTCCTCTGAAATGCTGCAGTGGAGAGAGCCAGTCTCAGCAGAATTGGTCCTGATTGTGGCGAGTCCGAGTCTTCAGGCCGATGGTCTCACGGATACACTAGTTTTCCCCGCATGAGTGGAGTATTAACACAGAAGTGCTATCGACTCGGAGTTAGTGAAGAGTTAACCGATTCTATTCTAGGGAGAAATTAGAGGAGGAGGAAAAAAGAGAAAAGTTTGTCAATATCAATTGAGAGCAGTGCAGTGGAGCCAGAAAGAGGGTCATTTACATGTAGATGATAGTTTTAGCCCGAATCCATTCTTTCTATCTCCCTCTACGTCTCTCTCGCTCTCTCTCTCTCTCCCTCCCCATAGCTCCATAGTTACCATGACGACGCTCCTGCCATTTATTTCTGTACATTAGAGGCAGGCTGCTCGTCCTTTGCCTCAACTGTTTTTTTTTGTTTTTTTTTCTTTTTTGGATGGGATGAATTTGCATGTAAATAAGTTTGTGCTGTCTGTCTTTCTCTTTTTTCTTCTGTCTGTTTCCCTTTGTTTCCCTTCTTTCTCTCTAAAGAAAGAAGAGCACACTGACAAAACAAACCAGCATGAGATTGGAGGAGAGAGAGAGAGAGAGAGAGACTTGTTGGAGAGAAAGTGGGCATCCCTCCTGTTTCTGGGGAAGACGCTATAGCTCGATTGTTGGTGTGTGTCCGTCCGTCTGTCTCCCTCCGTCCAGATGGCAGTGGTCAGCCATCCCTCACTCGGCGGACAGATTAAACAGAGCGCTGATAATAATGACCAGTGGCTACATCTGCCATCTCTTATTCTCTCTCTCTGTCCCTCACTTTTAAAGTCGCCAGCCCCTCAGTGCTGGTGCAGCTTTAATCTCTCTAAACCAGTGTGGGACTGGACCGGGAGTTTCCGTCTGCTTCCATCTGGACGGAGGGAGACAGACGGACGGCCACACTAGCTGGGACGCTGCTGATCTGTGCTGTGTGGCATTTGCCTCACTACACCGTCTGCCTGTATCGTGAACACAAACACACCACACTTTCAAACAAGAAAGTTCATCAAAATGACGTCACGGATGCTACATTTCAAAAACGCTGCAAATACAGAAAAACACATGCAACTCCAGAAACACTGATAAGGCAGTCACAACACAACGGAGGTGTTTCTGGAGGGCACTCAGAGAGGACTCGGCCATTCAGACTTTTAAAGTCTATGCAGCACAAACATTCACCGGTAAAAGTATGTTAACTTTTATTTGAGCAGATTTACTGACATCACTGTATTTTAATGAGAATTAGCTGTAGAGTGTAGCTGTAAAAGTTGGACTAGTAACACCAGATTAACTATCACAGCACAGCTGTGACATACCAGATAGCAAACTAGCCAGCCAGGTTAACCGTGAACTTGGGATGTGGGTGTCTGAGTGTCTGTGGTCTTATCTACATATTCCATCCCCTTTAAGTCTTCCAGAGACTTTTCCATTGTGTCGTGTCTCACTTCCATTGTGTTGTGACTGGCTTTGCAGCGTTTCTGAAGTTGCACGTGTTTTCTTTATTTGCAGTGTTTCCTGTGTTCGCAGCGCATTTATGACAAAGTGTTTTTAATTGTACTATGATTAGGATCTTGTTGGCCACCGTAATATCTTTCTCCAGTAGACGTAAAATTGCACATAACTCCCTTTCATTGTTGACAAAGCCCCCACCGATGTGTTCCTGGCCAAGTTAGCAGAGTGGATACCTGCAAAACCATGTTTTCCATCGGAGAGATTAAAACTGGTCCACATGGACGTGCAGATAGCCAGTCAGAATGCAAATCACCAAATCCTGATAGTTATAGCCAGCCTACATTCCATAGATATCAGAAAGTCCATAGCCTCTGTAGGTGGAGCTCCTCAGACTAGCACTATTATTAGCATATGTGTAATTTGGTACGTTTTCAGAATGTCTGTTGGTCCACTGGTGGTGGAATGCTCACTTCTTCAACTGAACAATAGAAAAGAAACTGATAAAGTTGTCTATGCAAGGGTTTACAGGCTGTGGAGGGCCCACTATTCTTTATATAGTTCTCTTGTGCTTTGGATTTTCACCTGATCTCACCCAACCTTACGCATATCCTTTTGTCTTTCACCCAAATTGGCATCCCTACCTGTCTACCTTTGCCCACAACTTCAGAAAGCAGAGGAGCTGCCAATCGATTACAGCAGATTGCAGGTGCCCTCCTCCACAGCCACTCTCCTTGCCCATCTTTTCCTTTTTTACTACTACTTCCCGTTTTCCGCCAACTGCCTTCTTGCTCAAAAAGAAAAGAAGTCTATTTCAAGGGTGAGGATCTTCGCTTAAAGAAGCAAGAGCATAAAAGGTCATAAAATGCCACCCTTTTCTTGCTTCCTCCATGTCTAAAGAAGAAGGGTCCTGCAGTATCTTGTATGAGATTGTCGATAACTCCCTTTCATTGTTGACAAAGCCCCCACGATGTATTCCTGTCCGAGATACGTTTCGACTCCCTCCCAGACTGCCTCCCAGATCACACAGATGACCTCCCTGACGTTTTTGGACATGCTTCAGTCAAATAATCTCTCAAAGGATGTTGAACAATTGGTCATGCATATGCTGTGGTGTTTGTCACAGTGATAGCCAGTGGCCACCAGGTGGCAGCAGGTGACTAGGATCTGGCTGCTGCCAATGCAAGTGTGTTTTGATTGTGTCTCTCATGTCTTCCACCAGGAGTTGCAGAGTGACTTTGAAGGGAAAAAAGAGATGTTTTCTGATTTTGCCCTACCTTGCCAGGTAGTGAGAGTCTCAGATTTGCTGGCACTGCTGCTAAACTTGCAGTAACCCCCTTGGCATGTCCACGTTTAGACGTACTGGGCTTGTCTCTCTCTTGTTTTGTGTCGCCGCTTTTTTCATGATGTATTTTCACAGATTGCCCGTCTGTCGCCTGAGCTGTCGGACTTCTAGGTTTTGTCGTTGGGGAGCATGATCTCTCTGCACAGCAGGAACCTCTTGCTAGCCAGATCCCCAGGCCAAATGCTGAGTCCATGACCCTAACACTTAATTAGCCCATACTAGCACTCAGTGCTCGAATCCATGAGTGTGCGCACTCGATCAGAGCGGTCTAATGAATCATTGTTCACTCGATTAACCAGGCCTACTGGTCAATCAGCATTTCTGCTTGATAAGCTGCAATTCAAAGGTTGAAAGTAGGTGAGTGTGCTGTTTTGCAACAAA